CTGAACAAAAGGAATATACTTTTCAGATGGACCTTGCCGGAGGGCATGCTGATCACTTGGCAAGGGAGGAGAATTAAAATAAACAGTTTGGTGGAGGCTCAAGAATTCCTTGACCAACTGAGAGGGTCAGAAGATGAACAAAGTAGCAAAGAGGAATTGGAAGCTGTGATCACAGAAGAAGAACTCACCCAAAGAAGATCCCAAGAAGAGGTCCCGACGGGGAAAGAGAGCTCAGAGGAGAAAGAAAAGGAAGAGAAAGAAAGTAGAGAAGCAGGGAAGAAACAAAGACCTCAAAGAGCAGTTCGAGCAAACACCAACTTCAAATTTAAGTAAATTAATACAAGGCAAAAAGGATGGGTGATTGGAAAATCCTATCGATTAATGTAAATGGACTTAATGATCACAAAAAAAGAAAAACCTTCCTTAACAAATTAGTCATACAAAATGCAGACATAGTCTGTCTTCAGGAGGTACACATTAAACAAGAACACAAAAAATATTTGGAATATAAAAAATTGGGGAATCTTTACACCTCCTTAGCCATGAAGAAAAAGAGAGGGGTGGCATTATATATTAAAAAAGAAATGAAGACAGAACTGAAATATGCAGACCCCAAAGGTAGATTACTAATTGTTGAAATTGAGAGGGGCAATTCGGCAATATTAATAACAGCGATTTATGCACCAAATAAAAATCTGAAAGAGTTTTTTAATAAAACACGAGAAATAATAAGAGGATTAGATAACAATAATATTTGCATCATTGGGGATTTCAATGGAGTGGTCGATGCGAACAAAGATCACAAAAGACCCAGAGGTCAAAAGAAAAAAAGGAAAAATTTACCAAAAACCTTCTTCGAATTAGTGGATGAACTAAATCTTGTAGATATCTGGCGAACACTACACCCCAATAAAAGACAATACACCTTTTATTCTAACCCCAATAAATCATGGTCTAGAATAGACATGATGTGGGTAAGCAGGAACTTGGGCATGGACATTGCGTCAGCGGAAATCTTACCCAATACCTGGGCAGACCACAATCCACTGGAAATCAGATGGAAAAGTAGATATAAGAGAAAAAACACAAGATGGAGAATGAATACATAATTTTTGCGAGATAAAAAAAATATTGATAAAGTCAAGAGGGAGTTAGAAATCTTTTTTGAAGAAAATGAAAAAGAACCAATGGACCGGGGGATAATCTGGGATACGATGAAGGCCTATTTAAGAGGCCTAATGATATCATATGGAGCATATAGAAATAAAGAGAGGAGAGAAGTTCAAAGAACATTGCTAGAAGAACTGGCAAATGCAGAGAAAGAGGCGCAACAAAACCCCGACAATGAAATAACAAAAGAAAATTGGATGAATATTCGTCATAAATTAAATATAATAGATCAAGAAAAATTAGCATATAATATTAAGAGAACAAAACAATATTACTTCGAGAACGCCAATAAGCCAGGAAGGTGGTTATCCTACAGAATTAAAAAAGAGAGAGAGAGAAAGGAATTATTCTCCAATTAGAAGACACCGAAGGCCATATCACAACTAAGGAAGAAGAAAAACAGGAAATAGCACGCGAATTTTATGCGTCTTTATATAAAGAAGAAGATATACCCAAAGAGAAAGTAAAACAATATTTATTGGAGGAGGAAATGCCACAGATCGGAGAGGAGGAAAAAGAGATGTTGAACAAAGAGATCACATTAACAGAGTTAAAGACTGCAATTGCCAAATTGAAAAAGAATAAATCTCCGGGCCCGGACGGATTCCCAGGAGAATTATACAAAAATTTAGAATTAGAAGACATTTTACTCCCAAGAATGCTTCAAATTTTTAATGAGGCCTTAATGAAAAATAAAATACCAGAATCTTGGAGAGAGGCCTATATTACACTCTTACCAAAAGAAGGATTGGATACCAAATTGATACAGAATTACAGGCCAAATTCCCTTCTTAATATTGATTATAAAATATACATGAACATATTAGCGGAAAGACTAAAAAGAATCCTCAATAAGATAATACATAGCGATCAGAATGGATTCCTCCCAGGGAGGCAAATTAGGAATAACACAAGGACAATTCTGGATGTGATAGAATATTACGAGGAACACCCGGAAAAAGAGGTGGCATTAGTTTTTTTAGACGCACAGAAGGCCTTCGACAATTTGAATTGGGAGTTTATAAAGCAACAATTGAATATAATGGGATTTGGACAAAATTTTACAAATACAATAAATACGATCTATGAGAAGCAAAGGGCCAATATTTTAGTAAACGGTGAACTCACCAAAACATTTCAGATTAAGCAAAGGAGTAAGACAGGGATGCCCAATGTCACCACTTTTGTACATACTGGCACTAGAAGTGCTATTGAAGAAGATTAGAGAGAGTGATCAAATCAAAGGGCTTAAAATTAGGAAGGAAACATATAAAGTTCAAGCGTTTGCGGACGATGTTGTTTTAATTATGGAAGAACCGGTGGAAACAGGTATACAAATATTGGAAACACTCGATAAATATGGAGAAGTAGCAGGACTCAAATTAAATAAATCTAAAACTAAAATGCTCACCAAAAATATGACGAAAAACCAGAAAGAAGCCCTGGAGGAATCTATGGGAATCCAAATTGTGAAAAAAGTTAAATATCTGGGAGTATGGATCTCAACAAAGTATCTGGCCCTCAAAGAGGACAACTATGTCCCCTTGGTAAAAAGCATAAAACAAGATTTAGAGAAGTGGGGGAAGTTGCAAATTTCCTTCCTTGGGAGGATAGCGACAATTAAAATGAGCATCCTACCCAAATTGTTGTACCTGTTCCAAACAGCGCCAATTAAATTAGATAAAAAATTCTTTAGCGAACTTAATGCCACTATTAGGAAGTTTATTTGGGGAGGAAAAAAACCAAGAATAGCAATTAGGAGTTTACAAGATAAAAAAAATAGAGGGGGGCTCGGATTACCTATATGGGAAACATATTATAAAGCAGCAATTCTTGTTTGGCTAAAAGAATGGGCGACTTTAGCGAACAAAAGAATTCTAACGCTAGAAGGGCATGATCTCCAGATGGGTGGCATGCCTATTTATGGGAAACAGGGAAAAAAACCAAAACACATTTCAACAAACATAAATTGAGGGACATATTGAAGTCAACGTGGGAAGAAATAAGACGAAAACACTACACTAAAATTCCCAGCTGGCTCTCAACCATGGAGGCGATAATTTACCCAAACGTCTTAGATCATGGTAAAACCGTAAAATATAAAGAAATCCTAGATGAGGCAGGGAACCTCAAAACAATAGAACAATTAAAAGAACAAGGCACTTTTGTTGAATGGTGGACATACGCACAGATAAAATCAAGATATAAAAAAGATAAAGAACAATATGGTATAGAAATGGGTAGCAAAGATTTTGATAAGATTTGGATGAGTACAGATAATAAATTATTAGCTAAATTGTACAACTATTTAGTAGAATATGACCTGATGGAAGAAGTGGTTAAAGACCCAATGCTAGCATGGGCCAAAAATATTGGGAAAAATATAAATCTGGAAGAATGGGATCAAATATGGAACAACAATATAAAACTTACCAAGGCAACCACTTACAAGGAGAACCAGTACAAGATGATTTATAGGTGGCACCTAGCACCAGCTAGGATTGCCAAGATTTACCCTAACTCAAACCCAAAGTGCTGGAAGTGTGGACACCAGCAAGGTACTTTTTACCACTGCTGGTGGACCTGCTCTCAAGCAAAAAAATATTGGAAGATGATTTGCAATTGGCTTTCAGAAATAATAGGTGAAACCTTTGAATTAGATCCTGAAATACTTCTCCTGGGAATTCTTAAGACGGAAATGGCAAAAAAGAAGAAATACTTGGCAGTGCATATAATAACAGCAGCAAGAATCGCTTTCGCTCAACAATGGAAAGAGAAAAAAATACCAACTAAGGAACAAGTAATTGGCAAAATAATGGAATGTGCCGAGATGAATAAATTAACATTAGAAATTAATGACAGAGAAGATTCTGATTATTACAGCGTATGGGACAAGTGGTACGGGTGGTTAGAGAAGAGGAAATTGAAATAAAAAAGTAAGAGACCAGAGCAAGTACAAGAAATAGTAAAATGAAATAGAAAGAGAAGATGTACTGTGGATGGTAGGAAATATAATAAGGCAAGGAAAGGTTACATGGGTAAGCAAAAGACATGACTTATGTATTTACTAATCTATCGTTAAAGATTATTATATATATATACACACTAAGAATGATATGAGAACACAATTTTTTATACCATGTAACTGGTTTGCAAAGATTATCTATATATGTACAATATGTAAATTGTATTTATTTCTTTTTCCATACTATGTAACCGGATGGACAAAAATTGTATTATTATAATTTCTTAATAATAAAACATTAAAAAAAAAAAAGCTGACTTTGTATAAATATAGAAAAGTATGAAGGCTATTGCTTAACGCATTGTAAGCCGCCCTGAGTCTCTGGAGAAGGGCGGCATATAAATCAAATTTAAAAATAAATTAAAAAAAAATCTGCTAATATTCTCCCTAAATCAGGTCACTATCACTAATCCTAATATATAAATGTGTATATTCTTATTTCTTCCTCTATAAATTTCTAATCAGGCGATCATTATATTAGAAAAAAAGAACAAAAAACATATAATAATTTATTTCTATCCATCATCCCTCGCCCGTTTTAATACTTCCATTCTTATTCGGTTTTTTTGGCTTGCCTCCCATATTCCTGTCTTGGATCTTTATCTCTATCAACCTCTGTATCTTCAACATTCAGTTTTGTTCAGCAGATACCTTCTCATCGTGCCCAGAGAGAGAGAAATATCTGCCTCTACCTAGGATCGAACTCACAGCCTCCTGATTGTGAGGCGAGACCTCCCCCGCTAGGCCACCGCATGCACTACTCCATGAATGGTCAATGGGATAGTGCCCCAAAATGGATTCTCACCTCACATTTGAACGGCTTCTCGCCCGAGTGCTGGAGAGAGTGGACTTTCAGAGACATGCTTCGCTTGAAGGACTTCCCACACGTCTCGCAGGTGAACGGCATATCCTTGGTGTGAGCTACAAAGCAAAGAAGAATCGGGGTTGTCTTCTAAAGCAGGGGTCCCCAACCTTGGTAACTTTAAGACTTGTGGACTTCAACTCCCAGAACTCCTCAGCCAGTTTTGCTGGCTGAGGAGTTCTGGGAGTTGAAGTCCATAAGTCTTAAAGTTCCCAAGGTTGGAGATCCCTGTTCTAAAGCCTTCAAGGTAGGGCTGAGGTCACAAAAAGATGGACATCCCAGAGATAAAACCAACAGCCAACTCTGTTTGGCAAAGTACACAACCCAGAATAACAGAGTTGGAAGGGGCTTTGAAGGTCTTCTAGTCCAACCTATTGCTCGAGTGGGAGATCTAAGTTGCATTAACAGAGGGATACAATCAAGATCAAGGGAGGTATTAATTCCACTCTGTAAAGCCTTAATAAGACCACACCTAGAATTCTGCATCCAGTTTTGGTCACCACAGTATAAAAAAGATGTTGAGACTCTAGGAAAAGTGCAGAGAAGAGCAACCAGGTTGATTAGGGGACTGGAGGCTAAAATGTATGAAGAAGGGTTACAAGAACTGGGCATCATGGCTAGTCTAGTGAAGAGAAGGACCAGGGGAGACATGACAGCAGTCTTCTAATATTTGAGGGGCTGCCATAGAGAGGAAGGGGTCAAGCTATTTTCTAAGGCACCTGTAGGCCAGACAAGGAATAGTGGATGGAAACTGACCAAGGAGACATTTAACTTGGAAATAAGGATAAATTTTCTGACAATAAGAGCAATCAACCAATGGAACAGAAGATGCCTTCAGAAGTTGTGGGAGCTTCATCACTGGAGACTTTCTAGAAGAGATTGGACTGCCATCTGTCAGAAATGGTGTAGGGTCTGCTTGGACTAGATGACCTACAAGGTCCCTTCCAACTCTGTTAATCTGTTAAATCTTATACCAGTTCAGACAAATAGCTGCATCTTTCTCTTCTTAAAATTCTCCAGTGATGGACCGCCCATGATTTCTGAAGGGAAGCCATCTTGACTTCTGATTTTTTAAAAATGGAAGTTTTCATTTCCACGTGGATAAGAGTCCTTATTCTGGAGCCTGAAAGGGAAACAACCTAGCAAGATTTAATCAGGTGGCCCAACTCAACGAAATGCAGGGTGGAGATTGGGGTTCATGTTTTCCTGACTGAATATTTGTCGCTCAGGGTTGAAATGAGGAGGAGGAAGAAGGAGGAGGACAACTGGGGTCCTTGGTGCTTTCTGAGAGTAGTTGTTTTCTTATTGATGTTTCATGACCCAACTAGGGAACATCATCAGTGATAGAAGGCAGGGAAGCATGGCAGGGCTGCGGACCATGGTCCGGTTCGGGGATGTGGCCAGCCAGCAATTGCTACTGGTACGGCGACCTAGCCCCAATCTCCACTACTGGTCCTCCTGAACCAGTAGCATTTCACCCCTGACGCAGATGTTTTCAACCTGACATCTACCGAAGTTTTGGAAGGACAACCATCACTAGACCAGTGATGATGAACCTTTGGCCCACGTGCCAGAGATGGCACTCAAAGCCGTCTCTGCGGGCATGCGGGCCATTGCCAGCTGCCCTTCTGGTTTCCAACTGGTCTTTGCGGCACCGGAAAATGGCCCGAAAACCAGGCAGTTTTTCGGGCCAAAACTGCCCTGAAACCAGCCCCCAAAGCCAAAAAATAGGCATGTGCATGCCAGCCAGCTGGTCTTTGGGTTTCCAGTGTGGCACGTGCGAAGACCAGCTGGCCAGCACACATGTACATGCCAGAAATCCAAAGACCAGCCAGCCGGAGTTGAAGTCCAACATGGCTGCTCAGGAATTCTGGGAGTTAAATTCCAACATGGCTGCTCAGGAATTCTGGGAGCTGAAGTTCAACATGGCTACTCAGGAATTCTGGGAGTTGAAGTCTAACATGGCTACTCAGGAATTCTGGGAGTTGAATTCCAACATGGCTGCTCAGGAATTCCGGGAGTTGAATTCCAACATGGCTGCTCAGGAATTCTGGGAGTTGAAGTTCAACATGGCTACTCAGGAATTCTGAGAGTTGAAGTCCAACATGGCTACTCAGGAATTCTGGGAGTTAAATTCCAACATGGCTGTTCAGAAATTCTGGGAGTTAAATTCCAACATGGCTGCTCAGGAATTCTGGGAGCTGAAGTTCAACATGGCTACTCAGGAATTCTGGGAGTTGAAGTTCAACATGGCTGGCTCAGGAATTCTGGGAGTTGAAGTCCAACATGGCTTACTCAGGAATTCTGGGAGTTGAATTCCAACATGGCTGCTCAGGAATTCTGGGAGTTGAAGTCCAACATGGCTACTCAGGAATTCTGGGAGTTGAATTCCAAATGGCTGGCTCAGGAATTCTGGGAGTTGAAGTCTAACATGGCTACTCAAGAATTCCGGGAGTTGAATTCAACATGGCTGCTCAGGAATTCCTGGAGTTGAAGCAACATGGCTGGCTCAGGAATTCTGGGAGTTGAAGTCCAACATGGCTACTCAGGAATTCTGGGAGTTGAAGTCCACAAGTCATGAAAGGTTCCATGGTTCCCCACCCCTGTTCTAGATGGTCCTTAGGTCTCCGTTCCTTCCCTTCTCCATGCGTTCCCCACCCTACTCACCAACCATGTGTTTCCGCACGTGTGCCATGGTGTAAAACCTCTTCTCGCAGATCTCACAGGAGAATTTCTTCTCGGCGTAACTGTGGACAATTTTGTTGTGCTCATGGAGCGACCAGAGCTTCTTAAAAACCTTCCCACAAGTAATGCACTGCAAGGAAGAAGACGACCCAGGAAGTCACCTCGGAGGCTGTAAATCTATTGACTGATTTCCAGTTTTAATGTAAGAATAACATTAAGTCTCTTTCAAACTTATGCAGGTAGTCCTTGACTTACGGCGAAAATTGAGCCCAACAACTCTGTTGCTGAGCGAGACACATGCTGTGAGTTTTGCCCCATTTTACGACCTTGTTAAGTGACTCGCTGTAGTCGTTAAGTGAGGAATATGGTTGTTAAGTGAATCTGGCTCCCCTCCTTGACTTTGCTCGTCAGACGGTCGCCAAAGGGGATCACATGACTCTGCAACTGTCGTAAGTACAAGCCAGTTGCCAAGCATCTGAATTTTGATCAGCGGCTGCAATGGTTTTAAGTGTGAACAAACTTTTGTCAACGCCGTTGTAACTTTGAGCAGCCTCTAAACAAATGGTTATAAGTCGAGGACTGCTTGTACAGGATTACACTTTCTTGTCCAATCAGACTTATTCCTATCCGTGTTGGACTATCAATTGATTGCCAATATTAGATCAATGACCCTGATTATTTTGAGCTTGTCCCCTTTAAGAAGAGATGGACTTCAACTCCCAGAATTCCCCAGCTAGCAACCTACTTGACTGGGGAATTCTGGGAGTTGAAGTCCACCTCTCTTAAAATTCTCAAGGTTGAGAATTACTGTTCTAGCTTCTCCATCTATAGGTAGTCCTCGATTTACGTCACTACTTTAGTGACTGTAGAACAACACTGAAAAAAGTGACTTGCAACCTCACACTTACGACGTTTGCAGCGTCCCCTGGGTCATGTGATCAGAATTCAGGAGCTTGGCAACGGGCAGGCATTTATAAGGGTTACAGACAGTGTCCAGGGGGGGTCATGTGATTGGCCATTTGTGACCTTCCAACAAGCAAAGTCAGTGGGAGAATCTAGATTCACTTAGTGACTGTCAGACTCACACAACAGCGATTTGCTTAAAGGCTACAGAACAATGTTTCTCAAGATGGGTGAAGTCCACCCATCTTCAAGCTTCCAAGGTTGAGAAACACTGCTATAGAAGAAAATATGGCTTTTCTTATTACTGATCCAGAGTCAATTTTATAAAAATTCTTCCCTTTTCTCCTTGCAATTTTGCTTTCGAACACTTGCTGGCGCTGCAGGCTTACAAACACACATAGACACAAAAACACACAAAAACACCACACAGGGATGGACACACAAACAATAGAAAAGCATCCCTTTCCAAGGAATTCAATCTGAAATGGAAGATTGCATAACCTGGATCACAACTCTGAATTGCACACATTGTGACCCGCAACGCACACGGATTTACTGGGAATTGACTCAGAGACTGGGAAGCCACGGCTAAACTTGATCCCAGATCCTTCATACAGATCATTCGTGGCCTAAAAGTGAAATTTTTCTAGATACCACATCTCCCGGTTGTGTATTCAGGGAAAATTAAAGCAGCTACAAGAAAGATAAGACAACAATTGTTCTGAGTGACAAAATACAGTTAGTCCTCAATTTACAACAGTTCATTCAGTGACCGTTTGAAGTTACAACATCACCGAAAAAAGTGACTTAGGACCATTGCAGCATCAAAATTCAGATGCTTCACAACTGACTCATATTTATGACGGTGCCCTGGGGTCATATGATTTCTATTTTGCGACTTTCTGGCAAGCAAAGTCGACGGGGAAGCCAGATTCATTTAACCACCGTGTGACTAACTTAACAACTGCAGTGATTCGCTTAACAGCGGTGGCAAGGAAGATTGTAAAATGGGACAGAAGTCACTTAACCAATGTCTCACTTAAGTTAACAAACAGGAATTTTGGGCTCCATTGTGGTCATATGTCAAGGACTACCTTGTTGTCTAATTTTTAATAAAATTAAAAGATAGATAAATGTATTAATAGAGAAGTAAGAAAAGTGGGGGAAATGTCATAATAAAGGAAATGATAATATTAAGATATGATAAATATTGGAGCAGTAAAAAGAAGACACAAAAGATGTATTCAGAAGATATATTGAATGATTATGTATTGTTTGTTTGTTTGTTTATAAAATAAAAAAACTTTTTAAATTAAAAAAAAAGGACTACCTATATTCTTTCCTCTTATACAAATACTGCTTGAACTTACAACCATTTGTTTAGTGAGTGCTCAAAGTTACAACGGCACTGAAAAAAATGACTTATGACCGTTTTTCACACTTACGACCATTACAGCATTCCCCCCCGTGATCATGTGATCAAAATTCAGATGCTTGGCAGCTGACTTATACTTATGACGGTTGCCGTATCCCGGGATCCCCTTTTGCAACCTTCTGACAAGCAAATCAATAGGGAAGTTACTCACTTAACGACCATGTTACTAACTTAACAATTCCACTGATTCACTTAACAACTCTGGCAAGGTCGTCAAATGGGAAAAGCTCACTTCACTGCTATCTCGCTTAGCGACGGAAATTTGGGGCTTAATGGTGGTTGAAAGTCGAAGACGCCTGCATGTCTCAGGTTGCTGAGCTGGATCTGCCTTGAGGCTGGCCTCCAACCTGCCAGGCTGAACAGGAGCGTTTGCAACTGTGCCAGTAGTCCTCGACTTACGACCGTAATAGAGCCCCAAATTTCCGTTGTTAAGTGAGACATTTGTTAAATGAGTTTTGCCTCGTTTTACGACCTTTCTGGCCACAGAAAGTGAACCTCTGCAGTTGTTACTCACCTGGTTGTTAAGCGAATCTGGCTTTCCCCATTGAATTTGCTCATTAGTAGGTCGCCACACAACCCCGGGATGCTGTGACCGTCATAAATATGAATCCGTGGCCAAGGGTCAGAATTTTAATGACATGGCCATGGGAAATGCTGCCACAGTCATAATGCTGAAACACGGTCGTAAGTCCGATTTTTCAGTGCTTCCCCATTGATTTTGCTTGTCAGAAGCAAAAGGGGAACACCTGACCCCAGGACACTGCGACCGTCATAAATATGGGAACGTTGCCAAGCAAGAGTTCAAAAATCAAGAGTTTTGATCACGTAACCACCGGAATGCTGCAACGGTTGTGTGAGAAACGGCACCTGAGGGCGACTTCTTTTACTTTGAGCGGTCATTAAATGAACTGTGGTAAGTGGAGGACTGCCTGTTCAGCCATCCTCGTCGGAGTTCCCACCACAAGACCTCGAGGGCGCCTGGCTGAAGGAGAAAGGAAGGGCTAAGGAAGTCCTCACCTGAATGTTCTTCTCACAGTCCGTCTGATGGTGCAAGAGCAGCTCACTCTCCAGCAGGAACCTCTTGCCACACTTCTCGCAAATCTGCATGCGTGTGTGCGTGACATTCATGTGCTTCTCCAGGTACCAGCGGTTGTTGAACACTCGTGGACACTTCTTACACGGGTAATGTTGCTTCTCCTCCAGCTTGACCTTCTGGCCAGGAGGATCCTGTTCCTTCTTCTGCCTCTTGGCTTTCTGATCCCCATCGTCCTCCTCAGCGACTTCGTCTTCATCTTGTCCCTCCTCCTCCTCCTCCTCCTCTTCTCCTTCTCCTTCCATCATGGTGGCAACTTCACCCGTTCTGAGGGACGTGGATGAGTTGGTGGCCTTGGCAAGCGGCCTAGTCCTCTGAAGGGCTCTGGTCTTCTCCCCTCTAATCTCGGCCACATTGCTGTCGTTGTCCCCTCTGTCCTCCTCTTCCTCATCCTCCTCTTCTTCTTCTTCATCCTCATCCTCCTCTTCTTCTTCCTCTTCTGAGGTGTCCTCCTCTTCCAGGTCCTCCTCTTCCGAGCGCTCATCCTCATCATCCATATCTGCATCGTCAACTTCATCTTGCTTACTGCCATTTTCTTGTTCTCGATCCACCCCTGAGGAATGTTGTTCTCCTTCTGTCCGTCCAGCTTCTGAAGCCACTTGGTTGGCCACGGAAGGCTGTCCCTCTGCACCTTTAGAGACGTTGAGGGTCTGGTTGTTAAGGTTGACCTCCACAATGATCTGCTCACCACGGCTGTAGGAACCTCGGTTGCCCAGAGGAGCCTCAGACGCGTCCCCTTCCATCTTGCAGACAGGTGGACCACCATGTTTATCTTCCTTGTAGAACGTCTTGTTGGCCACGGTAGGCTGGTTCTGGTTGCCATCCTCTACCTGCACAGAATATGGGATGTTCCCTTCTCGGGCGAAGATCTTAGGATGTGGAGGGTCCACCTCTTGCTTGATCTCACAGAAGAACTGAGGTGGTGGGATGGCTTTGCTAGAGTTGTCCGAAGTCAATGCCATATTGTTGGTCATGGCCAAGCTGAGAGCTCGCGTGGCGAGGAGTTCCTGACAGGAGGAAGCGATGTCGGTCATCTGCAAGACCGAGGCCGCATTCAGGACATCCTGAACGTTGTCGGCGTTGACTAAGAGCTTCGAGGTGTAGATGAAGTTCAAAATCTGTTGAAGACCAAGGGAAGTCAAGGCCTCCAGAGTTAGCTCTACCTTCTGGAGCTGCTTGTTCTGGGTGAAGAGAGAGTGGAAAAACTGGCTGTAGGCTGCCAGGACCCCCTTGTGGGCTGGGAAGACGGACTTTTGCTGCACCAGGACAATGTCCACGTCACACAGGTCGGGCTGGAAGAGGCGCTGCTCGTTCAGCCTGTCCATCAAACACGTGGAGTGGAGGGTGGCATCTTCTACCAGGGAGTATTCGGGAGCAGGCTGGTCGGCTGTCTTTTCAACTATCAGCTGGAGGGAAAGAGGGAAGGAAGGAAGAGAAGTAAGACGGATAGATGGAAGGAATGATGGAAAGGAAAAAGGAAATAAGGAGAAGGGAGGGATGATGGAAGAAGGAAATAAGGAGGGAGGGGTGATGGAAGGGAGGGAAGGAGGGACGGGAGAGAGAGAAGTAAGATGGATGGAAGGAGGGAAGGAAGGAAGGAGAAAGGGAAGGATGATGGAAAGGAAAAAGGAAATAAGGAGGGAGGGAGGGATGATGGAAGGGAAGAAGGAAATAATGAGGGAGGGGTGATGGAAAGGCGGGAAGGAGGGATGGGAGAGAGAGAAGTAAGATGGATGGAAGGAGGGAAGGAAGGAAGGAGAAAGGGAAGGATGATGGAAGGAATGATGGAAAGGAAAAAGGAAATAAGGAGGGCGGATGATGGAAGAGCGGGAAGGAGGGAAGGGAGAGAGAAGTAAGATGGATGGAAGGAGGGAAGGAAGGAGAAAGGGAAGGATGATGGAAGGGATGATGGAAAGGAAGAAGGAGATAAGGGAGGAAGGGTAAGAGGGGTGGGAGGGAGGGAGGGAGGGAAGATGAAAAGGAAGAAGGAAATAAGGGAGGGAGGGTAAGAGAGATGGGAGGGAGGAAAGATGGAAGGAAGGAAGTAGGGAGAGAGGGAAGGAAGGAAAGAAAGGAAAAGAGAGGGGGTATAAAGAATAAAGGATGTGAGGAAAGGAAAGGAAAAGAGGGAGAAAAGGAATGAAAGAGGATGGGAGAGAGGGAAGAGAGAAGGAAGATGGGGAAGGAAGGAAGGAGGGAGGCAAGGAGGGAAGGAAGGAAGGAGAAAGGGACGGAAGGGATGATGGAAAGGAAGAAGGAAATAAGGAAGAGAAGGTAAGAGAGGTGGGAGGGAGGATAGATGGAAGGAGGGAGGGAGAAAGGGAAGGAAGAAGGAAGGAGGAAAGAAAGAAAGGAAAAGAGAGGGATAAAGAATAAAGGATGTGAGGAAGGAAAGGAAAAGAGGGGAGAAAAAGAATGAAAGAGGATGGGAGAGAGGAAAAAGAGAAGGCGGATGGGGAAGGAAGGAAGGAAGGAAGGAGAGAGGGAGGGAAGAAGGAGAAAGGGAAGGAAGGGATGATGGAGAGGAAGAAGCAAATAAGGGAGGGAGGGTAAGAGGGGTGGGAGGGAGGGAAGATGGAAGGAAGGAAGGAAAAAAGGAAGGAAGAAAAGAAGGAAGGAGGGAATGAAAAAGAGAAGAGGAAGAAAGGGAGGGAGGGCAAATGGGAGGGAAGGAAGGAATAGAAACAGAGGGAAAAAAGAAAGATGGTTAGAGGGAGGGAAGGAGGAAGAAAGGAAAGGAAGAGAGAAAGAAAGCAAGTTAAAGCACAATTGGAGATCATCCCAACCCTCCTTGGAAACAGTCTGAGCCCACCCAACATCAGATGCTGCTTAGTAACCAATGCCCAAGTCTCCATGTGCAGGTAGTCCTCAATTTACAACCATTTAAAGATGCAACGGCACTGAAAAAATGTTGACTTCACTTACAACTGTTGCAGGAATCCCCATGCTCCCCTATGTTATAATTTGGGCACCCATCTTGGAACGGCCAAGACTGAGAAACATCAGCAGAGCCATTTCTAATCTTATTTCAGGTAGTTCTCGACTTATGACCCCAACTGAGCTCCAAATTTCTGTTGCTAAGCGGGGCAGTTGTTAAGTGAGTTTTGCCCCATTTTATGACATTTCTTGCCACCGTTGTTAAGTGAGCCACTGCGGTTGTTAAGTTAGTCACTTAACAACCGGTTGTTCAGTGAACCTGGCTTTGCTTATCAGTAGGTCGCAAAGGGGATCATTAGGAGCCTTGGTAGTACAGTGGTCTAAAGCACCCTGTTATTAAGACCAGCTGCCTGCAATTACTGCAGGTTCAAATCTCGCCAGGCTCAAGGTCGACTCAGCCTTCCATCCTTTCTAAGGTAGGTAAAATGAGGACCCAGTTTGTGGGGGCAATAAGCTGACTTTGTATAAATATAGAAAAGTATGAAGGTTATTGCTTAGCGCATTGTAAGCCGCCCTGAGTCTCCGGAGAAGGGCGGCATATAAATCATTTTTTTTTTTAAAAAAAATGTGACCCCAGGAAGTCGTCATAAATACGGAACCAAAAGGGATCTTTTTGCCTGTATTTACTTCTGATTTCATTTTTCTTTTTGCAAAAAAAAAAATATTTCTGATCTCTATTTCCAATTTCCCTTTTCTTTCTGATTTCATTTCTCTTTTGCAAACATGTATTTCTGATCGCCTTGCAAAAATATATTTCCAGTTTCTCTTTCTGAAAAATTTACTTCTGATCTCTCTCTCTCCCTCTCTCCCTTCCTCTCTCTCTTTTGCAGATATTTATTTCTGATTTCATTTCTCTTTTCGCAGAGGTGTATTATTCCTTGTTTCATTCCTGGGGTTTTTTGGGAAATATTTGTCTAGGTCTCTATCCGCCTCATCCCCCCTTCCAATTTTCTGATTTGTATTCGAAGCCGAGGCTTGTGGGTTGGCTGAAAAAAAACCAGGAAAACTTTATGGCCTTGGATTGAACAAACAGAATTGTTAAATCTTTTTGGAATTTCTGGTGGGGAAGGGAACTGCGAAAGACATCTGTTGAAAACATAAATGGCTGCCAACACACATTATGCAAGCAAATCCATTAATTGCACAAGAGAGGACAGCAGATGGCATAACATGTGAAAAAAGGACTAATGTTAAAGATATAAAAATAAAGCTAATGACAGATAGTCCTCAACTTACAACAGTCCTGAGTCAATGGGGAAGCCAGATGCCACTGAACAACTGTGTGATTATCTTAAAAACTGGAGGGATTAATTTGAGAACTATGCCAAGAAAGGTCGTAAAACAGAGCCAAACTTACTTAACAACGGTCTTGCTGAGCAACAGAAATTTGGGGAAGGAAAGAGGGAAGGAAGGAAGGAGAAAAGAATAAAGTAAGTGAGGAAGGAAAGGAAAAAGAAGGGAGAGAGGAAGAATGAGAGAGGAAGGAAGGAAGGACAAAGAAGGATTGACAGAGAGAGAGGGGGAAAGAGAAAGGAGGAGGAAGGGAAGGAAGGAGAAAGGAAGATTGACAGAGAGACAGAGAGGGAAAGAGAGAGGGGGGGAGGAGGAGGGAGGAAGGAGAAAAAAAGATTGAGAGAGAAAGAGAAAGAGAAAGGGAGAGGGAAAGAGAGGGGGAGGGAGGAAGGAAGAACGAGAAAGAAAGATTGACAGAGAGACAGAGAAAGGGAAAGAAGGGAGAGAGGGAGGGAGGGGAAGGGGAAGGAAAGGAAGGAGAGGAAGAAGAAAGATTGACAGAGAAAAGGAGAGAGAGAGGGGAGGGAGGGAAGGAAGAAGAAAGATTGACAGAGAGAGAGAAAGGAAGAGTGGAGGGAGGGAAGGAAGGAAGATCTCATGGCCCGTGTAGCAAAGCATGCCGTCCATCTTGGAGCAGGTTTTCAACTTTAGACAAATAACAAAACTCCCACTGTCTTGTGTGTGCAGCTATGCTAGGAATGTCAGCTTGGTAGAAGCTTGCAAGGAGATGCAAGCAGGAAGATCTGAAATGCAAAGTTTCTACAAAACTGTGTTTTGTTTTGTTTTGTTTTGTTTTGTTTTGTTTTAAATCTGGATAGAAAGCCACCAAAACAACTGTGGTTGTGGAAAAAGGCAAAAACTCTCATTTCTTCATACTAGATGGACTATGGGATTTCATCCCTCCCTTCCCTCTTCTTTCTTTCTTTCTCTTTTCTTTCTTTTTCTTTCTTTCTTTCTTTCTTTCTTTCTTTCTTTCTTTCTTTCTTTTCCTTCCTCCCTCCCTCCCTCTGAAAACAAAGGTGGAGGCTCACTTTTAGGATGCTCTCCCAAATAGATAAAAGCACCATTGAATCCTACGGCTGGAAAGAATCTTGGAGATCATCTAGTCCAACCCACTGATCAAAAGCTCTGGTGGCTCAGCAGACTGATAGCATTGTGATTAACACCAGCTGTCTGTAATTACTGTAAGTTCGAATCTCGCCAGGCTCAAGGTCGACTCAGCCTTCCATCCTTTCTAAGGTAGGTAAATTGAGGACCCAGATTGTGGGGGCAATAAGCTGACTTTGTATAAATATACAAAAGGATGAAGGCTATTGCTGAGCACATTGTAAGCCGCCCTGAGTCTCCGGAGAAGGGAGGCATATAAAGCAAATTAAAAAAAAAAAAGCAAGAGATGGCCTGAAAAGGTCCATTCATTGGACTGTGAGTGTGAAGGAGACACTCAGAATAAAGGCAGTTCCTGATTTACAGCCAGTTCTTTTACAACCATCTGAAGTAACCCCCGTCCTGCAGCCGAATATCAGGCAGATCCGCTTTACGACTAGACCTCACATTCCACAGTCATACGACCAGGATCTACGATGTTCATTGCCAGTTTCCAGGAAAAGATTAATATCATGTATAGATAGTCCTCGGCTTATAGATAGTCCTCAATTTACAACCAGTTGGTGTAACTACTTGGGGTGAGCCTTGGTGGCACAGCAGACTAAAGTGCTGTTAAGTAGCACCAGCTGCCTGCAATTATTGCGAGTTCGAATCTCACCAGGCTCAAGGTTGACTCAGCCTTCCATCTTTTTGAGGTAGGTAAAATGAGGACCCGGATTGTGGGGGGCAATAAGCTGACTTTGTATAAAAAAGAACACCACTTAGGAGGGGGGCCGAAAGCCCTACTAAGCAGGTATATACAAAAGTATGAAGGCTGTTGCTTAACGCATTGTAAGCCGCCCTGAGTCTCCGGAGAAGGGCGGCATATAAAGCAAACCAATAAAAATAAACCAAAATTTTGAGTTCAAAATCTTCGTTGTTAAGTAAGACAGTTGAGTTTTGCCCCATTTTGTGACCTTTCTGGCCACAGGGGTTAAGTGAATTGCTGCAATTGCTCAGCTAATCATACGGTTGTTAAGTGAATCGGGCTTCCCCCTTAACTTGGCTTGTCGGAAGGTCGCAAAAGTGGATCACATGACCCTGGGACACCGCAACCGTCGTAAATACGAGTCAGTTGCTCAGCGTCTGAATTTTGATCACGTGACCCACGGGGGGATGCTGCAATGGTTGCAAGTGTGAAAAATGGTCATAAATCACCCTTTTCAATGCCGTTGTAACTTTGAACTGCCACTAAACGAAACGTTGTAAGTCAAGGACTACCTGTGCTCATTATCCCTTATCCAAGGTTACTAAGTTGATCTCAATCATAATGTTAAGTTAAAGAGCCATAACTAAAGTATCAATTTATGCAGTCCATAAAAATGACACAGCACCTCAGCCCAGATGCGAGAAGAAACACCAGTACTATATAGTCAAGAGGAACCCTGGAGGTCATCTATCCAACCCCCGAGCCTGCAAGTGGTTCAATTACACTGTAGTACGATCAAGCAGCTAAACCTAAATTGTAGTATGGGAAAAAAAATGTACTTATCTGATTGGGCAACTATGCAATTTTTCAGCCTGGAAGAACCTTTTAGATGTGCGGACTTCAACTCCCAGATTTCTCCATCATGCCCAGGGTGGCTGTGGAATTCTGGGAACTGAAGCCAACGTATTTCCCTTTTTCTAAGCATTTCCCTTTTCTAAGTATTTCCAATCTATTTCCCTTTTCTATATAACTGAAGATGTTATATATATAGGCCAGAGGTGAAATGCTCCCGGTTCGGACCGGATTGCCCCATCCGGTAGCGATGGAGGCAGGTGGTTCGGAGAACCGGTAGCAAAAATCCCTGCCCCCCCATATGCCCAGCTGAGCCGCGCAATCATCAGAGGCTTTTTTTAAAAAAAAATTAAAAGCATTTTTTCTACAACCTCTTCCAGAGGTTGCAGAAAAAATGCTTTTAAAAGCCTCTGATGATCCAAGCTGAGTTGCCTGATCGTCAGAGGCTTTTTTCTTTTTAAATGCCTCTGACGATCAGGCAACTCAGCTTGGATCGTCAGAGGCATTTAAAAGAAAAAAGTCTCTGCCGATCAGGCAACTCAGCTTGGATCGTCAGAGGCATTTAAAAGAAAAATCTCTGCCGATCAGGCAACTCACTTGGATCGTCAGAGGCTTTTTAAAAGAAAAAAAAAGATTTTTTTTCTTTTAAATGCCTCTGACGATCCAAGCTGAGTTGCCTGATCGGCGAGGCATTTAAAAGAAAAAAAATCTCTGCCGATCAGGCAACTCAGCTTGGATCGTCAGAGGCATTTAAAAGAAAAAAGTCTCTGCCGATCAGGCAACTCAGCTTGGATCGTCAGAGGCATTTAAAAGAAAAAAGTCTCTGCCGATCAGGCAACTCAGCTTGGATCGTCAGAGGCTTTTAAAAGAAAAAAGTCTCTGCCGATCAGGCAACTCAGCTTGGATCGTCAGAGACATTTAAAAGAAAAAAAAGATTTTTTTTCTTTTAAATGCCTCTGATGATCCCAGCTGAGTTGCCTGATTGCCAGAGGCATTTAAAAGAAAAAAAGCCTCTGCTGATCAGGCAACTCAGCTGGGATTGTCAGAGCCTTTTGAAAGCATTTTTTAACAACCTCTTCGCCAAAGAGGTTGTAGAAAAAATGGTTTTAAAAGTAAAAAAAAAAAAAGGCCACGCCCACGCAGAAAACACACCCCCACCCCCACCAAGCCACGCCCACAGAACCGGTAGTAACAAATTTTAGATTTCACCACTGATATAGGCTGTCTTTGCAAAAGGTGGGTGCAAAATTTTTAATTTGTTTTCGGTGAGTTTGGGGGAGTGTTTTAAACGAGGAAACAGGAAGAGGAGATCTCAATGGGAGACCCAATGCTGCGAGCACAATATTCACATTTGAAAAACATGCTGAAACTGCATTGAAATTGGATTTAGTAACGAAGTACGGTTGGTCCTCAACATACGACCACAACGGAGCGCCCAAATTTTCCATTTCTACGTCAGACAGTTGTTAAGCGAGTGTTGCCCCATTTTACCACCTTTCCTGCCACAGTTGTTAAGTGAGTCAGTGCAGTCGTTAAGTTACTTACACGGTTGTTAAGTGAATCTGGCTTCCTACTTCTCAGAAAGTCGCAAAAGGGGATCACGTGACCCCAGGATGCTGAAACCATCATAAATATGAGTCAGTTGTGCCAGGTGTCCGAATTTTGACCACGAGGAGGCTGCAACGATTTTAAGTGCGAAAAACCGTCATGTCGCTTTTTTCAGTGCTGTTGCAACTTCGAACGGTCGCTAAACAAAATGGTTGTTAAGTCGAGGACTAACTGTAGCAAATTTCCAGCGATTTTTCACGGAGAGGGTTTAATCCTTCGGAAAGAGGACTTGGCTTCTCAATTAAGGGAAGGAATGCAGCAGGACAGAGTCACAAAATTAAATTCAGTTTATCGCTAAAAACAACTACAGGCAGTCCTTGAATTACAACCGATCACTTACCAACTGTTCCAAGTTATGACGGAAACAGAAATGGGGCCTATGGCCCAGTTTCGAAGTTCTGACCATGGCATTGCTTACCATACTTTTCGGAGTATAAGATGCACTCCCCACCCCCTCTAAAAGAGGGTGGAGATCTTGGTGTGTCTTATACACCGAATACTGAAGCCTGTTTTTTGCAAAAATAGGGTGCGCAGAGCAGTGTTGAAATGCAAAATTTATTACTTTGGGTAACAAATGTGGGGATGGCTTAGTGGGGGGGGGGTAATATGAGTGGGCGTGGCCAACTTTTTTTTTTTACTTTTAAAACCATTTTTTCTACAATCTCTTCAGCCGAAGAGGTTGTAGAAAAAATGCTTTTAAAAGCCTCTGACGGGCGCGGCAGAGTTTGCGGATCGGGGGTGGGCATGGGGGTGGGGAGGGATTTTTGCTACCGGTTCTCCGAACCACCCCCCTCCATCGCTACCGGATCGGGCGATCCGGTTCGAACCGGAAGCATTTCACCCCTGGCACAGAGGCTTTGGGAGGCCTGCAGAGTGCTCCTAGGGGCTGGGGAGGACAATTTTTTTTTTCCCTTGCTTACCGCTTCGAAATCTTGGTGCATCTTATACACTGGTGCATATTATAGTCCGAAAAATAGGGTAATGACCACTACCACTAGGTTTCTGGCGTGCATGCGTGCGTGAAGATCAGCTGTCCCTCACGCGTGCGGCAGTGCTGAAAACCGGTGTGCACATGCGCGCTGGCCAGCTGATTAATGGGTGTGCATGCATGCCAGAACCCGGAAGTTCACCTTTTCCGGAGCGCAATCCCTTTGCGTGCATGGCAGTGCCAAAAAACAGTGTGCGCATCGGACAGCTAATCATTAGGTGCACATTCGTGCTAGAACCCTGAAGTTCGGCTTTTCAGGAGCACGGCCCTGATGAGCATGTGCGTGCCATTTCTGGCACTCGGTGCCGAAAAGGTTCGCCATCCCTGGTATATGTGGTACCTTGCTCAATAGTAGTAACTGTGAGCGGGATATTGGAGTCCTAGTGGACAGCCACTTAAAAGACGAGGCAGCCGTGTGCAGCAGCTGCCAAAAAAGCCAACACAGTTCTAGGCTGCATCAAGAGAGGGAGATAATCAAGATCACGTGAAGTGTTAATACCACTTTATAAGGCCTTGGTAATAAAGCCACACTTGGAATACGGCATCCAGTTTTGGTCACCACAATGTAAAAAAAGATGTGGAGACTCTAGAAAGAGGGCAGAGAAGAGCAACAAAGAGGATTAGGGACCGGAGGCTAAAACATATGAAGAACAGTTACAGGAACTGGGTATGTCTAGTTTAATGAAAAGAAGGACCAGGGGAGACATGAGAGCAGTCTTCCGATATCTCAGGGGCTGCCCCAAAGAAGAGGGAGTCAAGCTATTCTCCAAAGCACCTGAAGGCCAGAAGAAGGAATAATGGATGGAAACTAATCAAGGAGAGAAGCAATTTAGAACTAAGGAGGAATTTCCTGACAGTGAGAACAATTAACCAGTAGAACAACTTGCCACCAGAAGTTGTGAATGCTCCAACACTGGAAGTTTTTAAGATGTTGGATAACCATTTGTCTGAAGTGATGTAGGGTTTCCTGCCTAAGCAGAGGGTTGGACTAGAAGACCTCCAAGGTCCCTTCCAACTCTGTTATTCTATTCTGTTCTGTTCATGGTGGATGGGGGATTCTGGGAACTGAAGTCCACACATTTTAAGACTGCTGAGTTTGATACACACTATTTTAGGCCAACCCAATGACTTATCTTTTTTTACTTTCACATCGATTCAACAGAAAGAAAGATTTTCTGTTCATTATTTGGTTCTGCTTTTTGCTGTTTGGGAGGTTTTGGTTTCTAAATCCACCCAACCTGGTCAAGGAAGATGGAAGTTGTAGTCCTAAACTTCCAGAAGCCAGGGGAGGGGCCACTGCCTATCATAATGGCGGGCAGGTTCTCCATGGTGCCCAAGAATGAGGTGGAATAAAGAGGGTCAAAGCAGCTGCATTTGTGAGGGAAAGTGCACCACACAGCATACCACATCTGGACCAGGGTGGATAAAAAATCAATGATTTTTTTAAAAAAATCAAAAAAATCAGATTTTTTTTAATTAAATCAGATTTTTTTGATTTTTATCGAATTTATTTTAATAAAAAACTTTTGGGGTAAAAATCTATCGTAAGATAGTTTTCTATTTAAGATACATAAATAATTTAGTTTATTCAGCATGAAACGGAGCTTAGTTCTGTAGCATGGATATTCTGCAACACTGGGACTATCGGTGAGTCAACAGCGGGTCAAAGGAGTAGCAGAGATGACAGTTGCTCTTTAAAAATTATGATTTAAATCGAGTTGATTTAAACCAAGCCTTTTTACTAGTGATTTAAATCATGATTGAAATTGTGATTTAAATCAACTTGATTGAAATCAAATCCACCCTGATCTGGACAAAGCTTTTGCAGTAACAACGGCACTGAAAACAGTGACCGAGTACCATTTTTCACACTTACAACCGTTGAAGCATCCCCATGGTTACATGATCAGAATTCAGCCACTTCGCAACTGGTTCATATTTATGACGGTTGCAAAATCCTGGGGTTACGTGATCATTTTCTGTGACCGTCTGCCAAACCAAGTCAACAGGAAAGCCAGATTCACTTAACAACCGTGTTGCTACCTGAACAGCTGCAGTGTTTCATTTAACAACCGTGGCAAGAAAAGGTCGTAAAACGGGCCAAAACTCACTTAACAACTTTCTCGCTGAACAGAAATTTTAGGCTCAATTGTGGTCGTAACTCAAGGACTACCTGTAAAATTGTCAACACAGAGGTTTCCAGGCTGTCATGCCTGCAAGCGAATTTGCTCCTTTGCTGATCTATTGTATATTTGCACAAACACACACACACACACACACACGCATTCTATTCCTCACGGCTGCTAAAAACAGAACAAACTTCTATTGTGTTTGAGGTGACACTGGGAGACACCAGCCCTCAATGAGAAGAGGAGTTGTACATTACAGGAACAACCCGACCTTCCAAAACTCAAAAGTTTGGACAGATTATTCTCCAACCACCACCAACCCAACCCACCCATTTACAAAGTTGTTAAGTGAATCACTGCAGTTGTTAGTAACACAGCTTTAAGTGAACATGGCTACCCCACTGACTTTGCTTGTTAGAAGGTCACAAAAATTGATTTTTGCATGATCCCGGGACACTGCACACGTCATAAACATGTGTTTGGTTGCCAAGCATCCTAATTTTGATCATGTGACCATGGGGACACAGCGGTCACTAAATGCAATGTCGCTAAATCAATGGTTGTTAAGTCAAGGACTACATCTGTCTGTCCATCTTCTTATTAATCTATTATCCATCTTCTGTCTTTGTTAGCTATATTGCTTTAGTGACCTGTCTTCTATCTTAATTATCTATATGGTGTTACCTATCCTTCTATCATCTATCTCCATCCATCGTCCATTATTATCTAGATTCTTATTGATCTATTATCAATCATGAATCTTTAACTATATTGTCTTATTGATCTGTCATCTATCTTTATTATCTATATTTGCTTATCTACATCTAACTATCTATCCTATCTACCTACCTGTCTATCATCTACCGTACCTACCAGTCTGTCACCCTCCCTCCCTCCCTCCCTCCATGTATCTATCTATCTGTCTGTCTGTCCGTCCATCTTATTAATCTATTATCATCTCTTTGTTAACTATATTGCTTTAGTGCGTGTCTCTATCTTAATTATCTATATTGTGTTATCTATCCTTCTATCATCTATCTCCATCCATCATCCATTATCTAGATTCTTATTGATCTATTATCAATCATGAATCTTTAACTATATTGTCTTATTGATCTGTCATCTATCTTTATTATCTATATTTGCTTATCTACATCTAACTATCTATCCTATCTACCTACTGTCTATCATCTATCTACCATACCTACCAGTCTGTCATCCTCCCTCCCTCCCTCCATGTCTGTCATCCATCTGTCTGTCCGTCCATCTTCTTATTAATCTATTATCAATCATCTATCTTTGTTAACTATATTGCTTTAGTGACTGTCATCTATCTTAATTATCTATATTGTGTTATCCTTCTATCATTTATCTCCATCCATCATCCATTATTAGATTCCTATTGATCTATTATCAATCATGAATCTTTGTTAATGTTATTGTCTTATTGATCTGTCATCTATCTACCTTTATTAATTATCTATATTTGCTAATCTATCCATATAATATCTATCTATCTACCTACCTGTCTATCATCTATCTACCGTACCTACCAGTCTGTCATCCTCCCTCCCTCCCTCCATGTCTGTCCGTCCATCTGTCTGTCCGTCCATCTTCTTATTAATCTATTATCCATCATCTATCTTTGTTAACTATATTGCTTTAGTGACCTGTCATCTATCTTAATTATCTATATTGTGTTATCCTTCTATCATTTATCTCCATCCATCATCCATTATTAGATTTATTGATCTATTATCAATCATGAATCTTTGTTAATGTTATTGTCTTACTGATCTGTCATCTATCTACATTATTAATTATCTATATTCGCTAATCTATCGACATCTATCTATCCTATCTACCTACCTGTCCATCATCTATCTACCGTACCTACCGGTCTGTCATCCCTCCCTCCTATCTATCTATCTATCTATCTATCTATCTATCTATCTATCGTCCATCTTGTAAAAAAACAAAACAAAAAGAACCCGAAAACAATAGAGGGAGGGGGGGTTTGTCCTGTGGTCTTTCAAAGGAGAGGGTCATCCTACTTTCCCAAACCCCCCAATATTTTTTTTAAAAATCCAACACATGCAAACTTAAGCAGACCACGTGACTTCACCCTGTCCCCCCCCCTTCAAAAAAAGAAGTGACAGAATTGAGTGGTGGGGGGAAGAGGGTTGCAAAGCTGCCACCGGTTCTTTTTCCAACTCCCACTCCCCATTCCCCCCGTTTGTGTAGCTCAACACACACACATACAGAAAGTCAGGTTGTCAAGCTGCTTGGAAGGACCTTAAATGCACCGAATTGCAACTGTCACTCAGGCGCGCAAGGAAGCGGATTAAGTCCTTAAAGCCCGGAGGGTTTGCGGCGGGGAGGGAGAAGAGAGGCGAAAGAAAAGGGAAGAAATTACAGCGCGAGCCAACTTGTCTGGGTGAGCTCATTTGTCGCAACGGGATCGGGTCTGGCTAGGGGAAGGAGGAAGGGAGGTTAACTCCTTGCAAGCCATGATCTGGGCAAGAGGGAGGGAGGGGGGAATGGTGGGCATCTCCTGGGCCGTCCCCCTCCTTTGCAAAAAAAGAAAGAAAGAAAGAAAAAGAAAAAAAAGGCAAGGGAACAGGACTGAAACCCCAGCAGGCGTGCAAATTCAGGATCCTCTTCTCCTCCTACCAGCTCCTGTCTTATTTTCCTCCCCCCTCTCCACCCCCGCCTCTGATTGCAACGTGTGCATGGTGCAGGACAAAACCCGGACGTCGGAAGGATCGGAAGGAAGGAAGAAGGAGAAGGAAATGGGACGAAGGGAGGAAGGAAAGAAGGAAGAAAAGGAAAATTAGGAAGGAAGGAAAAAAAGGCAGCAGGAGAGAGGGCGTAAGGCATTGCAAAATTGCAAATTTGACACCGTAAAACTGCACCGCAGCGTAAATTGCATTGCAAAGCGGCATTGCGCTGCAAAGCAACTTCCGACCCTCCCTTCCTCTCTGCCCCCCCCCTCCCCATATATTCCCATTGGCCTTAGCCTACCAGCCTCCACCCCCCCCCAAAGTCCTGGAGGTTTATAAAAAAAAAAAAAAAAAGAGGAAACAAGATTTTTTGGGGGGGTGGGGGGCGCTCTACCATTTTGCTGCCGGGCTGCCCGATCCAGGGAGCCCCGCTGCTCCTCTGCTCGCGGTGGGGTTGCGCTCTCCATCAAAAGATCCAGGGGTGGAGCGAGGGAGGTGGATTCGGGGTGGGGGGTGGGTGGGTGGGTGGGAGAGGAGGGAATCTTCTGGCTTCTTCCGTCTAAAGAGGGGTGTATATATATTGCTTCTCTGGCTGACAAGCCCCCCCCCCCCTCCTCCCTCTTCTTCTTCCTCCTCCTCCTCCTCCTCTGCAGCGGCCGATGCTCGGCGCTTTGCAAAGCTTCCCCGGCCGATGCTCCGCCTCCTCCTCCTCTGTCCCCGCCCCTTTCTGTCCTTCTCCTACCCTCCTCCTCCTCCTCCCGAGTTCCAGGCGGGTGACGGAGGCGTTTGGCTTCGCTTGGCCTTAATGCGCCTGCGCGACAGGGTTTGCACGCTTTGCTAGCGCTGCAGATAGAGATTGGATTTATTTACCGTCTAATACAGAGGTTTCCAACCTTGGCCGCTTTAAGCCTGGAGGACTTCAACTCCCAGAATTCCCCAGCCAGCTTTGCTGGCTGGGGAATTCTGGGAGTTGAAGTCCTCCAGGCTTAAAGCGGCCAAGGTTGGAGACCCCTGGTCTAATAAGCAGAACTGGGATGGTTTGTTTTTTTTGTTTTTATTATTTATTATTCTACCTTAATTGCTTTATAAGCAATGAGCCACTTCCTTCCTTCTATTCTATTCCTTCTATTTCACTCCCCACCCCCAAACAATGATCCTGATAGGTGGAGTGGGCTAAGAGAGGGATTGGCCCAAAGCCACCCAGAAAACTGTCCTTACCTACGGTGGGACTAGAACTCACAGCCTCCCAGTGATTGGCCCAGAGTCAACCACTCGGCTTTCGTGCCTGGTGCCGCACTAGAACTCACAACTCCTGGTGATCGGCCCAAAGTCACCCAGCTGGCTTTCGTGCCAAAGGCAGGATTAGAACTCGTCGTCTCCTGTGATTGGCCAAGTCATCCAGCCTCGCCTTTGTGCCTATGGTGGAACTATAACTCCCCGTCTCCCGGTTTCTGGGTCAGCACCTTAACCACCGACACCAAACAAGGTCTCCTGCTTCCCTTTGCAGAAAGTGAGAATTGAAGTTCTTAAAAGGAACTTCAGCAGCAGTCCTTGAGTTTTGGACCTTCAGATAAACGTGCATCTAGGCCAGCTTAGCTAACATCCATCAAGTCGGTCTGAATCTGCTGCAATGGGTTAGGCTGGGGAACCAGGTTATTTGAAGAACTACCTATCCCTTGTTACATTCATCCACTCCACCAGGATGGGAAAGCTAGGCATGTTACGGATCCCATCTATCAGGGTTGCCTATCCCACACAAAAGGGCCCTCTTGGTGGCGGCCAATTTTCTATGGACCATCATTGCCCACAAGGAAGAGGGGGGGGGTCAACCTATTCCCCGAAGCACCTGAAGACAGGACAAGGAATAATGGATGGAAACTAATCAAGGAGAGAAGCAACCTTGGACGAAGGAGGAATTTCCTGACAGCGAGGACAATTAACCAGCGGAATGGATTCCCTCCAAAAATTGTGGGTGCTCCATCAGTGGAGGTTTTTAAAGAAGAGACTGGACAGCCATCTGTCTGGAATGCGTAGGCTCTCCTTCTCGAGCAGCGGGTTGGGGTAGATGACCTCCCAAGGTCCCTTCCAACTCTGTTGTTCTGTTATTCTGATTGTCCCTCCCAACCCCACCCTGTGGCTTTTTGTGAAAGGCCCTAAAAAGGTGGTTTCTATCAGTAGGCCTGGGTAACCCAATTTGCTATTTATTTATTTATTTATTTCTATACCACCCTTCTCCAAATAGGACAGGGCGGTGCACAGCCAAGGTAAAAGCATACAAAATTTAAAAAAGTATTAAAATAATTAAATATTTGGCCGTAAATTAAAACAACCCAATTTAAAATCAATTTAAAATTTAACTCAAGCCAGCCCAGCTAGTTGAAATAAATAGGTTTTCAGGGCCCGACGAAAAATCCGGAGGTCTGTTATTGTATGTATCTCTGGGGGGAGGTTGTTCCAGAGGGTGGACGCCGTCACAGAGAAGGCTCTCCCCCTGGGGGTCGCCAGCCGGCATTGTCTGGCGGACGGCACCCTGAGGAGGCCCACTCTGTGCGAGCGTACTGGCCGGTGGGAGGCTATTGGTGGCAGAAGGCGGTCTCGTAAGCTATGGACCTGATCCAGTGGCTGGTTTGATTGTATAGTTGCTGCCATGGGATGAGGACTTTCTGTGCTGTGTAAGAAGTTAACCATCTTGAATAAAATAAAATAAAAATGTGCAAAGTCCCTTAAGATGGGCTCCTGGGGCATGCCCCCCTCCCTTTTTTTTGGCCTTTTTTCCATGTCGTTTTTCAGATAGACCTGTGGGACTCTGATTTCTTGAAGGCTCGCCATTCAAGCATTGAAATCAAAACCCTGATTAGGCATTCATTATAAAAAAAATGTTGCTTTTCTCTACAGCTACAGGATTTGTAAAACGTGTGTTTTAGGAACATAGGTAGCCCTTGACTTACGACCACAATTGAGGCCAACATTTCCACTGCTAAGTGAGACAGTTGTCAAGTGCATTTTGCCCCATTTTACGACCTTTTTTGCCACAGATGCTAAGTGAATTGCTATGGTTGTTAAGTGAGTAACACGGTTGTTGAGTGACTCTGCTTGTCAGAAGGCCACAATAATGGGATCACGTCACTCTGAGGATACTGTAACCACTCCTAACTATGAGCCAGTTGCTAAGTATACAAATTTTGAACATGTGATCACGGGGATACCACAACAGTCATTAAGTGTGAGAAACAGTCGCAAGTCACTTTTTTTCAGTGTCGTCGTTAACATTGAGCTGACAGTAAACAAATGGTTGCAAGTCGAGCACTACACCTGTTAAAAATTCTTACCTACAAGACAATTGCTTTTTAAATGAAGATCAGGCAATTCGTATCTAAAAATCAACAACTGATACTTAAATATTCCTATTTTTAATTGCATTTAAGGAGGGAGGAAAAATCATTTCAACATATTTTGTTTCCTAACAAAAAAATTATTTAAACTGATAAAACGAGGAGTGTAGGAAATCCTTCAAACTCTTTTGACAATAAAATGGGCTGCTTTGAAAATCTGCGAGGGGAAAGTCTTGAATTCAAAATGGCAACCTCATATTCGAGTCACAAATTTGGGGGCTGAAGCAGTTCCCAAAGAAAATGCTCTGCAGCACCCCGTTATGAAATATGCAGCATATCGGCGTCGTAGAAATTTTAACAAATTCAGGACCGGCATTAACAGATAAAGCGTCGACGTTTGCCTGGACCACTAAATAATAAAGAGTGTTATTTCGGCCGTTTTTTAAAAAAGAAAAGTTAACTATCCGATACAAAAACTTGTGTATATCCCGACATTTCAATTTCAAAATGGATTTTTGTCTGCTGAATTCAAACCGAAGAACAGAATTCCATTGCTCCAGAAAGTTAGTTTTCTGAAATAAATTTACAGCTTGCTATCTTTGCTGATGCTCATCCACAGACTTGCAAATCTGACAAGAGATAGTAAAAAATTAGAATGCTAGCACATTCAGACATGATGAAAATCAGAAGACCATGGGAGGACGCAACAGAGGCAAGGAGAACATGGTTCTTGCTTCTTCACTCGAAAGAGAACGGAGACTCAAGTGTGGTCTAAGCATCATTTGGAGTTCAAACTTCAAAGTTAGCTTTGAAGTTAGCTGGATAACTTCTGCAAGGGAGCATTAGGCAAAACTGATCAAGAAACAGGATAGTAACTAGCTTTTAACTCATGGGATCCAAATATATGCGACATTTTCCAGGCAAGTGATGAATCTAACTCCCAGAATTCATAACTCTGGTGGTGAATGACTGTTTAGCCAGGATCTTCTGGGATTCTTCCTGAACACTACAGATCTAAGATCTACCTGGATCTGTAGTGTCAACGTTATTGGTGTGTCAAGGTATCAGTGAACCATTAGTTCAGCACTTAAAGGCAATGTGTGAAGCAGGTAGACCGCAGGTGAGATTCCTATAATAAGATTCTTCACAGTTTCATGGTTATCAAGCGAATTTCCTTCGGAGAAACAACTTAAGAGGCTTAATTGAAAATTCGATTGCACGTCAACTGTATCATCTAGTTTGAAACGAAACTCTGGGCAACACAAAATGATTGCCATAGCAGAGTGTACAAAAAATAAGGTTGTGCTGAGTTTAAATAAGGCTCCACTTCTGTTGGCAGCAGTTACTTTCACCTAGACACTGAGAAGAAAAAGAAAAACGAAACAAAACGTTGATCCAAGCTACAGACATAAAAACTTTCTGTTATGCATAATTGCTATGGTCAACCGTAGGATCTCAGCTGTATCTGCTGCTTTCACTGGGACTTCGGCAATTGGAATAGCTGCGGTCACTTTCACTGTCGGACCCGTAAGATCTACAAGGAAAGACAAAATATACATCAATATAGCACACCAGGCGCTCACTTCCACTTTAAATAAAGTTAGTTCTCGACTTACAACAGTTTATTTAGTGACCAAAGTTACAAGGGCACTGAAAAAAATGGCTTAGGACCATTTTTCACACTTACAACCGTTGCACCATCCCCTTGGTCACATGATCAAGGCTTGACAGCTAGGCAATTGACCCATATTTATAACATTTGCAATGTCCTGGAGTCACGTGATCCCCTTTGGCAACCTTCAGACAAGCAAAGTCAATAGGGAAGCTGGATTCACTTCAACCGTGTTACTAACTGAACAACTGCAGTGATTCACTTAACAACTGTGGCAAAAAAGGTTGCAAAATGGGGCAAAATTCATTTAAGAAGTGTTTCACTTAAGAATAGAAATTTTGGGCTCAATTGGGGTCGTAAATCGAGGACTATTTGTGGAGACTTTTCCACAACCTGAAGAGAAAAACTAAGGAAATTTTTCTGGGGTGTCTTCTATCATTTGTCTCTTCAGAACCCACTCTTCAAATATGGCTTGTCATGAAACAAGTTCGCGCAATTATCCCTCCTTCAGCTCACAAATTTGCAGGATTTGTAGCCAAGACTTCTGTCTGAGATAGTGATGTTCTAATATTTCTTCCATTTTGTGGCTAGTTATTCCTTGAACCACATCGGCATTGACAAGATCCCCATCGGTCAATTGCAGAAGGCAGCTTGACTTGAAACAGCTGACATGCGAAGAGACCTTTAACCCCATCAAACACCCACATCTGTCTATTCCAGATCCTGAGGGAAAAACTCCAGAGGTAAACAAAAGTGCTAAATCCAGTCTGAACATCTGGCTGATTGTGTGATTAACCATAATATACAAAGCGACAGAAAACAAAAAAGCTAAAGTGTTTGGCGATTTTCGAATTCAAACATAGGCAACTGTCACATAACTCTGCAGATTTAACAAGGGTTGATTACAAAAGGCAAAAAAAGTCTGGATAGCGGATGTGGCAATGCCTGGAGACAGCAGAAGAGAAGAAAAAGAACTAGAGAAGATAACAAAATACAAAGACCTGCAAATAGAAGTAGAACGACTGTAGCAAAGGAAAACAAATATAGTCTCAATAGTGACAGTCTCCTTGGGTGCAACTCCAAAAGAACTGGGGCACCCCTTCAACCCCATCGGCATTGACACAATCCCCATCAGTCAGTTTCAAAATAGTTTTAGTTGGAACAGCTAACATCCTTTGACGAGATCTTTAATACCTTCAAACAACAACCTGTTGTACATCCTTGAAAAGGACTTGAGAGGGTACAAAACTGCCAATTCGGGTCTAAACATGTGGATGCCTGTGCGACCTAGCATAATAATAACCGGAGCATTCCTTGAATCCCATTGGCACTGATAAAATCCCCATCTGTCAATTGCAAAAGGGAGCTTGTCTTGGGCACAGCTTACAATCTTATGAAGGTTGACAAAAATGCCAGTTTCAGTCTAAATATCTGGCAGGTGGTGTGACTCAGTGTCAGGCAGAAAATAAAGGTGGGATTCAAATTTTAAAAATGTTAATTTTTAACATGGCAAGTGATAGCTCCTTTGGGGACCTCCATGATATTTAAAGGAGAGCGGGAATCCTGAGAACAAAGTTTAAGAAACACTGGTCTAGAAGCTCTCTAAACTTTCCCCGCTTTTGCATAATGCTGGCAAATACACAACAGATCTGAAAATGGAATATAAAAGTTTGTATGCAATGTTTCCCAGCTGCTCCAATAACAGTCAAGCTACTAGGAAAAATTTACCTGGAACGTCGGTCGTAGCTACGAGACCGGTGGTAACTGTCACTTCTTTTACTTCTGCTACGGCTGCGACTCCGGCTATAGTAACTGTCGTAGGTATAGGATCTGCTTTTGTGAAGAAATCAGAAACAACGGATTATTTGATTTAAAATGACTTCCATTGTTTGTAATTAAAACAAAAATTGTGTGAAAGTAACTGCTTTTAGATTGCCAATCTTTCGTGCTGACAAATCTTGGAAGAAAAACACCTAGAAAATTGCAACAGCTGTGAGCTTTATATCTTGTGTTCTATCTATTCTTTATAACCATAATTGTATTTACAACTAGAAATAACAGGTAGTCCTCGACCTACAACCATCACTCAGCATAAAATTCCTGTTGATAAGCGAGAGCTTTGCCCCATTTTATAACCTTTCTTGCCACAGTTGTTAAGTGACCCACTGCAGTTGTTAAGTTAGTATCACGGTTAAGTGAACCTGGCTTCCCCATTGACTTCCCCATTTATTTTTCCTCAATTTTTCCATTCTTGCCTGGAAAAAAAAAATCCTTCAATACAGATAATGATTTGCAACCGTTCGTTTAATGTCACTGTTGGCAGGCCTGAAGGAGGAAAACTGACAACTGTTTGAAGTGACAATGGCACTGAAAAAAAGGTGACTTATGACCATTGCAGCATCCCCATGGTCAGGAGAACAAAATTCGGACGCTTGGCAACTGGCATGGATATACTACAGTGGCACTGCTCCAGGGTCACCTGATCCCCTCTTGCAAACTTCTGACAAGCAAAGTTGTATTCACTTAAGAATTGTGTTCCTTACTTAACGACTGCAGTGATTCGCTGAACAACTGCAGTGGAAAGGAACGTGGTAAAACAAGCCAAAACTCACTTCACAACCATCTCGCTTAGCAACAAGAAATTTTGGACTCAATTGTGGTAGTTAAGTCAAAAGCTACCTGTAATTGTTTATAAAACAATGGTCAGAGTAACCGGTTTATAGATCATTTTACGAAGGTGTTTATGAAAATGGCCTCCTGCGTATTACATACCTTGACCGACTCCGGTGAGTGTAAGAGTTGCTTCTGGATAGGCTTCGACTATAAGTGCGTCTACTAAAACAAAGGGGAAGAAAGGTTAGCATAGAATTTTTAAAAATTATTTGCATGGGCAACTTTCCTAGCATTTAAATATAGGTATTTAAATCCGAGAATTTAAACTCTTCCCTTGTTAACAGGAAACTGGTCACTAAATAGAGAGGCTCTGCAATTGAACTAAGCTAGGCTGCAAGTAAAAAGACCGTATCTCTTTCAAGGTGAGCTGAGCTTCAGAGACACAGTCGTGAAGGTTTGGGGCCAATACAGGTAGCCCTCCACTTATGACTGGTCACTTACTGACCATTTGAAGTTATGACAGACCTCCCCGAGGATGCTTATGACTTGCTTCTGAAGTTCTAATCTACTACCCCACGCGATCACGTGGCAACCGGTCTGCAGTGTTCCATGGTCATGTGACCACGCTTTACAATAGCTTTTTTGCCAAAAAATGACACTTACTTGGGGTTTCCAACAAAAGAGCCGTGGTGGCACAGTGGTTAGAGTGCAATACTGCAGGCTACTTCTGCTGATCACCAGCTGCCAACAGTTTGGCAGATCGAATCTCACCAGGCTCAAGGTTGACTCAGCCTTCCATCCTTCCGAGGTGGGTAAAATGAGGACCCAGATTGTTTGGGGCAAATATGCTGACTCTGTAAACTGCTTAGAGAGGGCTGTAAAAGCACTATGAAGTGGTATGTAAGTCTAAGTGCTAGTGCTAAAAGCAACCCATAATGAATTATCGGTTCACTGAACAACCACATTTTGTTCACTTTTTGACTGTGGCATTTGCTTAACAACCGCCATCAAAAAAGATAATAAAAAAAAACTCCATTATAGTTATAAGTCATGGACTATCTGTAATTTGGAAGTTGTTTGCCACTGCTATTTTTTTTTCCCTTTTTTAAAATTCCCACTTCAGTCTTAAAAAATGTAGATTCTTCCCCAGCTCAGCTCAATCCCTGTTGACTGCACATACATTGTCCACAAAATGCAAGCATTTCACTACGGCATCGTTCAGTGCTGCTTTCTCAACTTTCCCATACAGCACTTAACAATAGCACTTGGATTTATATTGTCAGAGTGCGTACAGGTCTACCACGTGTATCAGTCCAGGAGCTAGTACAGCCAACGGTGGTTTGTATCGAATAGTTGTTTTTATCTACAATAGGAATATAGGAATACTATACATACACATGCTATAAGCAGTATCTAAATGAATTTAGCAATTACAGCAGGGAAGAAACTCAACAAACCAACCAACACGCCAGAAGGGCCTCCTCTTATTACACAGGCTCTTAAAGGGATAACAGCCAAAGGCCCTGCTGACTCATTCCCCTCATTGCATTAGCTGGTCAGCAAGGTAAATTATTACCTTGACATATATACTGCTTTACAGTGCTTTAGAGCTCTCTCTAAGCAGTTTACAAATGTCAGCATCTTGCTCCCAAACAATCCAGGTCCTCATTTTACCAACCTCAGAAGGATGAAAGGCTGAATCAACCTTGAGCTGGTCAGGATCGAACTCCTGACTGTGGGCAGAGTTTGCCTGCAATACTGCAATCAACCACTTGAGCCATCAGGGCTCCTATAAATTTCTCCAACCCTTTTCCTTTGAAAGACAACTTACCTATAACTTCTGCAACTGTTGTAAGATCTGCTTCGACTTCTTGAGCAGCAACCACTGTGCCACCCTCTGCTTGGGCTTCTCGAGTAAGTGCGGGATCTGTGTAACAAATTGGGGGGAAAAACATATCTGAAAAAAAAGACATCACCTTTAAAAAATACAGTATTTTTCAGAGTATAAGACACACCTATTTACCCCCAAAAAGGGAGTGAAAATCTGGGTGCGTCTTATACTCCGAATGTAGCTCTACCCACCCGCTGGCCCCCACCCTTGGGAGGTTGTCGGCCTCCGTGCCTTGCATTTTCTGGTGGTTTCAGGTGGTGGGGATCCTCACATGGCCAAAAATGAGCACTGCATTTTCGGTCTCCCCACGCTGGGAGATAGGTGGCGGAAAGAGTTAGGGTGCTGCTTCAAACCAGCTGAAAACTGCCGCCGCTGCATTTTTATGAGGGTGCGCAGCTGTGCGAATTGGATCGGAGAATCGGGGAGGAAAATGTCGGAAAACGCAATGCATGGAGGAAATGCTCCTCCCCAATTCCCAGAAGCAATTCACAAAGCCGCCCACCCTCCTCCTCCTTTTCTGCAGTCTCACTTTCTCTTCCCTCCTGGCCAGATCCATCTCCCAGGCCAGGAGCAGAAGTTGACCACCTGGGTAGTCTGGAGAAAGGGCAGACAGACTTCTTGGTGGCTAAAGGGGAAGAAGAAAACTCTGGGCACATTGAGAAAGCACACTCTCCTGTTGCTGGAAGAAGGTCAAAGTTGGTTTCCCCCCCCACACACACACCTTGCTTTCTTAAACTGAACTGCACTGCTTTTCTGACTTGTTGATAAATGATCCTGGGAGAAAGCAGCAGCCAGCGCCGATCCATTTCGGGTGGTCAAAATGCCAACCTCGACTGCGGATGGAGTCCCTCTGGGCATGAAGACCGTTTGGGAGGAGAAGGTGGCTGAGGAGGGAGGAGTGTAGGCGCAAGGAAGTGGGGGTGGGGGAGACTGCAGGAGAAGCAGCCCTTCTCCCCTTCTTCCAGCAACAGGAATGTTATGTTCTCAACGTGCCCAGAGTTTTCTTCTTCCCCTTTAGCCACCGAGAAATCCGAGTTCCCCCATGGTCTGCCTGGAGGCAGCTCCAGCAGTTCTAACGGCTGCCTTCACAACTTGTGCGAGGCCTGGAGATCCCCACTCCCTATAGCAGCAGACTTCTCCTTAACCTCCTGAGATTTCTGCCCCCATGAAAATCATCGCCCACCCCACCCCACCCCACCCAGTCCAGTTAAATAGACAGGATTTGTTTTAAACTGATAAAAATATCTGTGCTACTCATTATCAAAATCCAAATGGAAGTGAGGATGCCGGTGATCCTGATGCTGGTAGGCAGAGGCAGAATTCTTTTTTTCTTGTTTTCCTTCCCCAAAATTAAGGTGCGTCTTATACTCTGGTGCGCCTTATACTCCGAAAAATACGGTACATTATAATAGACCGTGAATTTGAGTCCTGCCTTAGCCATGAAAGCCAACTAGGTGACTTTAAGCCAAGTACCAAGAGAGTGTGAGTTCTAGTCCTGACTTAAGCACCAAGGTTGGCTGGAAGGCCTGTCACTGGGAAATGGTGAATTGCAGTCTCGCTTTAGCCATGAAAGCCAGATGGATAACTTTGGGCCAATCACCAAGAGATGTTCTAGCCCCACCTTAGATACAAAAGCTGGCTGGGTAACTATGGGCCAATCACGAAGAGACAGTGAATTCGAGTCTTGTCTTAGGCATGAAAGCCATGTGGGTGACTTTGGGCCAATCACCAGGAGACGGTGAGTTCTACTCCTAGTAAGTCCTAGTCTTAGACCTACCACATTCTCTCAGGCAAATACACCTCACAGAGATGTTGCTGTGGAGAAAACTGGAGGAGGAAGCTGTGCTAGATATGTTCACTGTCTTGAGTTATTTATAAAAATAATCAAGGCAGGAATTACATGAATGAATGAATGAATGAACTAACTCACCTATATGAGTACTTGGAGCTTCTCGACTGACTTCGCGAGTGACTGTAAGACAGCGATCTTGTCCGATGCCTGGATTTAATATCCGACTTGCTGCACGAGCGACTCCGACTTCTGGACTCACTGTCCTCTCGTGTCGGAGAATCTTCTTCACTCGAGCTCTCGTGGTTCCGGGGTCTCCGATTCAGGCGCGCTGTCTTTCTGACTTCATCAAACAGGGAGCCTGGCCTAATCTTGTTTTTACTTTTAATCTCGATCCTTAAACCTGGCGGTTTGGGATCGGAAGAGCCGGAAGCCATGTTTTTCATTTCAAAGGGATTGCTGGCGGGCCCTGCGAGCTGCAGGTTCCCAGCGCCCTGTAATGGTTTCCACTTGTTGTCCCCAAGACTGTTCGATGCATTTTCAGAAACGTCCACTTTCGGCACAGTTTCAACGCTGGTGGCAGCTTTCGGTTTTTCCCTGTCTCGTTCCTGTCTGCTTTCTTGGAGGCTAGTCAGTCCTTTAACATCAGCGGCTTGTCTTACATTCTGGGTTACAGTGCTAATTGACGCCTGGGAACTTGTGCTGGCTTTAATGTCTTGGAAATTTAATTTTAGGCTTACTGGAGAAAGTTGCAGATCCAGTTTTAGAGGCGAATCATGGTCCGGGGTACAAATCTCCATATCGTCTATCAGTATGGCAACCTGCTTGTTTTTATTAATCTCCTGAGCTACAGTAGGACTTTTGGAAACAAATATATTTTTAGTTGGATAGGGTACATGAGTTGAAGAAACAGCTTTTTCCTCACTGCGTTTATTCAGTTGGCTAGTGGACGCAGCCTGATCTGTTCCTCTCTTTGAGACGATGGGCTCTTTGTGGGACATCCGATCATCCTTCGCATGTTCTTTGATCGTTTTATCACTTTTCGAATCCGGCTCTTTATTTTTGTCTTTGGCTTCCTTTTTGGCATGTTTCTCTTGCACTTCTTTTATTCCAGATTTTCTGACTTCCTCCTCCTCCTCCTCCTCTTCTCCAAATTCTAAGGGAGGCTGCCAGTGGAATGTCTCTTTTCGTTTTTCAGCCTTGTGTTTCTTCTCCTTTTTACTTTTGGATTTTTCTTTCGCCTTTTTGACATGGACTTTTCGGAAGGATTTTTTGGAAGTTCGCTTCGGCGTCCAGGATTTGTCCCTGGAGTCTGTATCGGAATCGGAGGTCTCGGTTTCTGAAGAGGAAGGATGTTTGTTCCCTTTTGATGTACCTGGGGCAGGGTCAGATTTGCACTTGCGTTTGGCGGGTGGGCAGGGATCCGTATCGGAGTCCGATGAGGCCTCACCTTCCTCTTTTGCAGACAAGAGTCTCGAGTTTTCTTTGTCGTTTTGAGTTACTTCTATTTCAGAATTTACTTCGGAAAACCACTCATCGCTCGCATAGTTTTTCATTTTGGCTTTCTGGCCACTTCTAGTCTCAGATTTGTCTTTCAAAACTTTTTGTTTGGAACGGTTGCTGTCCTGCCCAGACCGAGATTTCTCTTCACGCTGATTGCAACCCGAATTTCTTTTATTTTGCTTCACTTTTTCAGATCTTAATTGTCCTTTTTCTTCAATGGCCTGGGACTGAGTCAATTTTTCACTATCGCTCGAGGAATCGATGGAGGATCTGCTTGCATTTCTAGGCTTTGAGCTCACACCTTTCACGTAGGGCAGTGTGCTTTCCGAACTGCTCTGCCTTTTCTTGGACAGCTCAGAATTTCTCTCGCGGGATCCCAACTTCGTCCGGCTTTTTTGTCGGTCATCCTCACTGAGGGAAAAGTAAGAGGAGGATCCACTGTAGCATGACTGGTCGCTGGGGAACGGATTCCCCGAACGGGATCTCACAGTATATCGGGATCTCAAAGTGGATGGGCTTCTTGATCTGGAGGAGGACTTGGAGGAGGACCGACTTCGTGAAGTCCTGCTTCTAGATTTCCACCAGCTGCCTGAGCTTCTGTTGCTCTGGATTCTGGAGTAACGGCTCCGATCGCTCTCTGAGCTCTTTTGCTGCTTAGGATAGGAAGAGGAGGATCCGGGGTCTTGGATGCCGATTAAGCTGTAATTCGCCTGAGCAGGTGGTAGGTGAGTGGTCTTGGCTTTCATTTCCTGAAGACGCTCGTAAGATGGTTTCCATGGTTTTTGCCCTGGTTTCCATCTGGAAGGTGGAGGACTATCACTCAGCGGGATAACTGGGAGGCTTTCGGCAACCACAGGCTGAATAGCGAGTTTATCATTTTGGGGTAACGCGGTTTGTGCCGGTTCAATGGAGACCAGTTTACACTCCTTTAAACGAGCCACTGCATTTTTGGGCGAGTTGGGGACCGTTTTTACCAGCTTCGATGCGGAACTGGATCTTGACCTGCTCCTTGAACGCGAAGACATGCGAGTGTTTCTCGATCGAGAACTTCTGGAATAAGACCTCGACCTGGACCGAGATCGGGATCGAGACTTATAGTATGAGCGAGAATCTCTGCTGGAGAAAGAGGTCGAGTTCTGCTTGTCTCGCTCGGATTTGGACCAGCCTCTTCTAGAAGAATCGTCTTTAGATGTCAGGGAGGAAGAACGCGACGCTCTTTCCCGGTCACACAACGATTTTGTCCTTCTGGCAGAAGAAGGGGAGGATTCGACCTCGGTGGAAGGAGACCGTTTCTTTTTCGTCTGCTTGTGCTTCTTTAAGTGTTTCTGCTTCTTGGCCTTCTTTTTGTGCTTTGCTTTTTTCTCTTTCCGGTGTTTTTTACGGTGGCTGACATGTTGAGCAGTACTGAGGTCTGAAAAGCCATTGTGGGACCAAGAACGAGACCGAGGGGACAGACTTCTTTCATCCCACCGTCCTGGATCGCTCAGCCTAAAGGAGGTGGGGGTGGGTGGGGGGGAAGAAATCAAAATATCTTCATTTTGGTTTTTAGCCACCTGATGTGCGAGTTTGGGATTAGCATTCTTAAAAAAAAAAAAGAGCATAAAATTGATGAGCGTGGCCTGGCCATTTGGCAACAACTGGGACTATCAGACCCTGTCTTGAGTCTGGAGATATGAGGACATGATTAAAATTTTCTATTGCCCTTGATTAACAAGGAGAAAAGTCTCTGCAAATAAGGAGTCCTGTGAAATCTCCCTCCCGGCAGAGCCGATGGGAGGGAGCACCAATAGGTTCTGGAAAAGGCTCACCTATGTCTGCTTTATGATTAAATTGTACAGATACCCTGCAGTAGAGGACTTGCAGCTGTAACATTTGACAATAGAATTCAGGGACACCGATGATATTATTTTGGCAATCTATGTCCCCGATCGAACAAAGCAATCCAAAGAGCAAGCGGCCTCTTTTAACTACGGTGCTTAGCTCCCCGTGGGGATTAAACTCTGCAAGTGCTCTGAGCAGCACCGGAAAGGAAGCCTGAATGATAAAGCCTAACTTAACCTAAGCCTAAGCCTAAACCTAACTTTGATAAAGCTGAAAAAACAAGAGGCCTGTTGGTTGTCTCTTCCTATAGAACAGTGTTTCCCAAACTTGGCTATTTTAAGATGCATGGACTTCAATTCCCAGAATTCCCCAACCAGTATGCCTGGTTGAGGAATTCTGGGAGTTGAAGTCCATACATCTTCAAAGGGTCAAGTTTGGGAAACACTGCTATAGAAGAAGAACCAGCAGTCACAGTATACCATAGAATACTACAGTATACTCTCTAGTTCAGAGTTGAACTGTGGGGTCCTTGGTGCTCTCTGATCTTTGCTTTTTTTCTTGAGATGTTTCATGACCCAACTATGTAACATCATCAATACTAGAAAGGATTAAGGTTTGTGGGGAGGAAGAGGAGGAGGACAATGGCGACTGGATACCTAGGTGCTCTCTGAGCTTGGTTGTTTCCTTACAGACATTTCATGGTGAGGTTCTAGCTTCCAGTACTGACGATATTACCTAGTTGGGTAACAAAACATCTGCAAGAACAGTCAAGTTCAGAGAGTACCAAGGACCACAGTCTTCCTCCTTCTCTTCTTCTCTGCAAGTCCACTCCCTTCTAGCACCGATGATGTTATTTAGTCGAATCATGAAATGTCTGCAAAAAACCCAACCAAACTCAGAGAGTACCAAAGAGAACACAAGGTTTATATCTGGGTGGTAAACAAGGAGTGTTTACATGCTTTCAGTTAGGGTTCTCTGCACTTAGGAAGATCACTAGTGAAATAATCAGTACTATTCACACAGCCTCCAACGTACCAATTTAAACTGGGCTCAGACCCAATTCTATGTGACAGTCAGATGGGCTAATCCCACACAAAATGATTTGAGCAATGCTCAAAAATAAGTCTGTTATCTAATTTCAGTCACTGATTTATTCTTGAAACAACATAAATGGATGATCTTTCGGAGGAAAGAATTTCTGCATGTGTCCGCACCCACAATAATCCAGAAATGAGTCCACTGGCATCTCAGAGTACCAGTGTTGTATTTTTTAGTAGGTTTAGGCCTGTACATTTAGTAACTCTGCTTTATGGAGTGCGATGGCTCAGTGGTTAAAGACGCTGAAACTTCGTCAGCTGGAAAGATGACAGCCCGGGTTCAAGACCCAAGTGCCGTGTGACAGACTGGCCTCCCAACCTTTGTTTGCCCCAGTTCCTACCCACCTAACAGTTTAAAAGCATGCAAATGTGAGTAGATAAATAGGTACCACTTTAGTTGGGAGCTAACAATATTATTTGCACCTTGGCATATAATCGTGCTGGCCACATGAACTCAGAAATATCTTCAGAATACACTGGTTCCCTCAGTTAAGAAATGGAGAGTCAGACGTTATTTTACCTTTAACTCTGCTTTACAAGTTAGTCCCCAGATTCTTGTCTTGCACAAGCCAAAAGTTGCAAACTTTTGTGTGTTTTCCCTTCCAAACTCTCACATCTAATACACATTGTTCTCCCAAAACATGACATTTCAGGAAGACAAAATTGTTGGCAAATTCTTACTTATCTCCTTTACTCCACTTTTCTCCACTGGGGGCCCTATAAGCTCTCAATCTCTGCATTTCCTCTTTCCAGTGGGGCGGTGTTTCACTACTTCCATTGTTATCCGATTCTGTGCACGAGCGAGAGTGAGGAGGTGTATGATATCTCTAGGGGAAAAAATGCAATAGGATAACAAATCTCATCAAGTCTACAGACTAGATGAAACCTAACTCGATAGCACTAACTGTGGAAGCCTAGTAGACAATCACTTCAACATGAGCCAGCAGTGTGCGGCAGCAGCACCTCCCCCCCGCCCCCCCAAAAAACCCCAACGCAATCCTAGGCTGCATTAACAGGATAGAAACAAGATCATATGAAGTGTTAATAGCATTTTATAAGGCCTTAGCAAGACCATACTTGGAATATTGCATCCAGTTTTGATTGCTACAATTTAAAAAAGTGTGCAGAAAAGAGCGACAAAGACGATTAGAGATCTGGAGGCTAAAACATATCAAGAACTGTTGCAGGAATTTGGAGCATGTCTAGTTTAATGAAAAAAAGGACTAGGGAGTAATATGATAGCAGTCTTCCAATATTTAAGGTGCTGTCACAAAGAAGGGGTGGCGGGGTTTCAACCTATTCTCCAAAGCACCAGAAGGCAAAACAAGAAACAATGGACAGAAAGTAATCAAGAAAAGAACCAATCTCTGATCATTGCATGATTCACCTTGTACCTACTTACAATCATGAAACCAACAATTGAATCAGTGAGGACTTGGACTGAGGAGGCAAAACTAAAGCTATAGGCTTGCCTTAACTGCACTGTTGGAATATTTTTAATGCCTCTGCAGACTTGGATGAACTCACAGTAACATCATATGTCAGTTTTTGTGAAGACCTATGTGTGCCGACCAGAAACCTGAGAATATACAGTAACAATAAACCTTGGTTCACAGCTAAACTTAAGCAGCTATATTCCAAAGAGAAAGGCAATAGAATGCTGTACAATCAGGCCAGAAACTTATTAACAAGGGAGATCAGAGCAGCAAAAAGAAGCTACTTTGAAAAATCAGTTCTCAACAAATGAACCAGCAAACACGTGGAAAACTCTTAAAAATATCACTTGTTACAGCAAATCTCCTTCCCATGCTGAAGGAAATCAACAACTGGCAGATAACCTGAATGTGTTTTACTGCAGGTTTGAGAGAAAACTACTGTCACCCATTTCCACAATCCCCATCTCAGACACACCTACAACAGCCAAGCCTCCTACAACTGACCCCATCCCATGAGGCCCACCACCTCTGGTGATTACAGAAAATGAAGTGCAACGTCTATTTCACAGACAAAAGCCATGAAAAGCACCAGGCCCAGACAAGATAACTCCTTCTTGCTTAAAAGCTTGTGCTGACCAACTGGTCCCCATCTTCACCAGCATCTTTAATAAATCACTAGAGAAGTGCTATGTTCCTTCTTGCTTCAAACACTCTACTATCATCCCAGTGCCGAAGAAGCCCTCCATCAAGGAACTAAACGACTTCAGACCGGTTGCTCTAACATCTGTAGTTATGAAAACCTTTGAAAGGCTAGTGCTGTCTCACTTGAAAACCATCATGGATCTGCTGTTAGACCCCTTACAATTTGCCTACTGAGCAAATAGATCGACAGATGATGCTGTTAATATGACTCTGCACTACATCCTACAACATCTTGAATCTCCGAAGACCTATGCAAGGGTCCTCTTTGTAGACTTCAGCTCAGCATTCAGTACCATCATTCCAGATATTCTCCTAACTAAACTAAACCAGCTAGCTGTACCTGACCACACTTGTAAATGGATCATAAGCTTTCTAACAGACAAGAAGCAGCAGGTGAAGCTAGGCAAAATCACATCAGATACCTGCACAATTAGCACAGGAGCCCCCCAGGGCTGTGACCACAGAGATGTTGCAATGGTTATAAGTGTGAAAAATAAGTCAGTTTTTTCAGTGCTGTTATAACTTTGAACGGTCACTAAACAAACTGTTGAAAGTCAAGGGCTACCTGTAAAAATGTAGTCTTCCACTGCTGCCTGTTTTTCTTCCTACTTTTTTTTTTTACTTACTATTTTTTTACTTACTATTTCTTTAAGGGTCAGAATACTGTCATTTGTCACCTTTTTATAATTAAATGAGTCCCTAAATGAACAGAAGCTGACATCATTGCTACTCAGCCCATATTTATATGCCATGACTTAATCAAGCAAGAAAAACCTTTTAGTGCTTGTAAAAATAAAACTCTCAAGATGTAAATTTGAATTTTTTTTAAAAAAACAACAACAACATACTATTGTGCCTCTCCCTCTGATTTTTCTTCCAGATTTTGACACCGAAGGCTTCTGGTCACTCGAAACGGGTCCTGGGTCAATATTCCTTAAATATTCAGAAGAAAATAAGTATTAGGAAAAATGAACTGGAGAGTTGTTAGCCCAATCCCATGTGGGACTCTTCTGCAGGCAACCTCATTTTTTAAAAATTAATTTATTTATTTATTTATTTATTTATTTATTTATTTATTTATTTATTTATTTATTTATTTATTTATCATCTATCTATCTATCTACCTATCTACCTATTATTTTTTTATTTATTTATTTATGATGCTGCTCATCTTGCCACAAGGTGATTCCATGTGGCACACAACCGAATAAAGACAAACTAAACCATTAAATGTTAAAATCCCTATCTCTCTCTCTCTCTCATTTCTATTTTTTATCATCTATCTATCTATCTATCTATCTATCTATCTATCTATCTAATCTGCCTATTATCTATTATCTATCTATCCATCCTAACCATCCATCTATTCTATCTTCCCATCCTATCATCTATTTATCTGTCTGTCTATCTATTCTATCTTCCTATCTACCTACCTATTGTCTATCTGTCTATCTGTCTTTCTCACACAGCACACCTCTTCTGCTGGAACAAATCAGGTGGGCAAATTCCATCACGGTGAGACAATTTCTGGGGTAACTTGGACCCAATGCTATAAACAGCTTTATACCAACATAGCTTGTACAAGAGCAGTGTAACATGATGACAATGGGGTCCTTGGTTATCTCTGAGGATTTCTTTTTTGGCAGACATTCCATGACCCAACTAGATAACATCATCAGTGCTAGAAGTTCAAATCCCACTTCCATCTAGCACTGATAATGTTACCTAGTCAGGTCAGGAAACGCTTGGTGGTTTTTTTTGCAAAAAAAAAAAAAAAACCCACCAAGCTCAGAGAACATCATGGATCCCACAAGAACTGATATTATGAGAGAATTAATCCAAGAACTGAGAAGAGACTATGACATTTCTTTCTCATTGTTTTATATATTTCAACCAGTCAGTTCTTGAGAGCATTAGAGTTCATTTCAAACAGGCCATTGTTTAGACAGAACTGGAAATAAAAGACGGTCTTGTCTTCACCAATTTAGTGGAAACTACTGCAGTATATTACAGGTAGTCCTCGACTTACAACCAAGGGTAAAATGTAAAATTTGTTACTACCGGTTCTGTGGGCGTGGCTTGGGGGGGGGTAATGTGACTGGGTAGGCGTGGCCAACTTTTTTTTTTTTTTTTTAACTTTTCAAAGCATTTTTTCTAATGCTTTGAAAAGCCTCTGCCGATCAGACAACTCAGCTGGGATCGTCAGAGAGGCTTTTTAAAAAATACCCCTCTGCCTATCAGGCAACTGAGCTGGGATCGTCAGAGACTTTTCAAAGCATTTTTTTTACCACCGCTTCAGCCAAGAGGTTGCAGAAAAAAGTGCTTTGAAAAGCCTCTGACTATCCCAGCTGAGTCGCGCAATCGTCAGAGGCTTTTTTTAAAAACTTTTAAAAGCATTTTTTTGTCGGAAGAGGTTGTAGAAAAAATGTTTTTTAAAGTAAAAAAAAAAAGGGGGGGGCAGGGATTTTTGCTACCGGTTCTCCGAACCACCACCACCACCCCACCATCGCTACCGGACTGGGTGATCTAGTCCGAACCAGGAGCATTTCACCCCTACTTACAACCATTCATTTAGTGACTGTTCAAAATTACAAAGGCATTGAAAAAAGTGACTTATGTCTGTTTTTCACACGTACGACCACTGCAGCATCCCCACAGTCATGTGGTCAAAATTTGGAGCTTGGCAACTGTCATGTATTTATGATGGTTGCAATATCCCAGGGTCATGTGATCCCTTTTGGGACCTCTTGACAAAGTCAATGGGGAACCTTAATTCACTTAATAACTGTGTTACTATAACTTAACAGCTGCGGTGATTCAATTAAAAATAAAGGGAGGTCATAAAATAGGGCAAAATTTACTTAACAACTATCTTGCTTCGTAACAGAAATTTTGGGTTCAATTGTGGTTGTAAGTTGGGGACTACCTGTACTAAAGATAAGAGGCATAGGTAGATACAACTTTCCTCCCAGTAAGAAATATTTCAGTTCCTAAAATATATAATATTTTCGGTTAATATCTGAAATACAGGTAATCCTTGGGTTACGACAGTTCACTTAGCGAATGTTCCAAGATACGACATAACCCCAAGTATTTACAGCATATTTGCCCTGCCAATCTCTGGGCCTGTGGAGACTGACTTTCCTTGCTACGATCTAGCGAGCAGTCGGTTCCTTTGCCTGCTTCAGTTCATTCACAGAGAACAGAGACCTAAAGTAGTACAAGATCATGCGAGATCAGAAGCATGAGATCTTGCACTACTGATCTCGCACTACAGTACAGTACTTTAGGTCTCTATTCTCTGCGAACTGAGGCCTGTACCAGATCAGTGGCAAAGGCTTTGCAAACAGAGAGGTCTTGGGTGGTTTGAAGTAGGTGGCCTGTTCCATCGCTAGGTGCCCCCCACCTCCATAGCTTTCCCCACCCTGAGACACCTCATATGCACTTACCGTATTTTTCAGAATATAAGACACACTTTTTTCCCTCCTAAAAGAGGCTGAAATTTGGGTGCGTCTTATACTCCAAATGTAGCTTTTTCGAAGTGCTAGCAAATGAAGCGATCTCCGTGCTAAGCTTTTTTTCAGTGAAACGATCTTCTGAGCTTTGCCTGCTCCCTCCGACTCTCAGCTGTGAAGCTTTATTTCAGCCCTAAGGAGGCGCTAGCGAATGAAGCAATCTCCATGGTTTGCCTGTTTTTCTCATTGCTTCTCTCGCCAAAGATCAGTTGTGCTTTAGAAGCTTTTTTTTATCCCCAAGCAGGAGATAAAAACCAGCAAACTAATGTGCTGAAGCTGACCAGACTAAGGACGCTAGCCAGATGAATATCTGGTAGGCAGATTTCCTCCCCCCATTTTCCTCCCCAAAAACTAAGCTGCGTCTTATACTCCAAAAAATACAGTAATTAGATTAGCGAATGCGTGGGTGAAAGCGGGAAGTGTTCACGTTCACTTCAACGAATCCTCAGGTTACGAATGTAATTGGCAGGCTCTATTAACTGGAGGCCTACCTGTATAAATAGGTACATTTCGTTCTGTCACTTAGGTTCAAATCAAGACACAAAGAATTAAAAATAAGTGCAATGCATACAAATCTGGCTCTGTATTTATAATGGGCGCATCTCTTCTAAGCAGAAATCTGTTTTCCGGCACAGGAGGAATTTCTTCTGGACGGACGACAGGTTTACCCCTTTTCACGTTCAGGTCTGCTGATTTTTCGTTTGTTTCGCTTTGGTCCGAGTGGCTGGAGGAAAGAGAGCGATTCACGGCCACTGAGGCTACTTCGTACCTGTTTCATAAGACAAGAAAAATGATCAGCAGGGAATAAGCATATCTCCTGGTTAAATGCCTAAATTAAACTATTTTGGCCTTCTCCAGGTTTGATATCAATGTAAGTAACCAAGTCACACCTTGCATTGTTAAAAGTCCATCTAATTCACTTCTTTTTCAGTACTGTGTTCCCCTGAAAATAAGACAGGATCTTATTTTCTTTTGACCCCCCCCCCATAGGGGCTTGGCCTTATTATGGGGGGGGTGTCTTATTATTTCGGGGGTGCAGGAGGCAGTGAGCGTGGGACTGGATGTCCCGTTGCTGCCATCGCCTCCCCTCCCCATTCTTCGCGTTGGCCGCTACCCTGGCGTGTCCCACCGCTGCTGCTTCCTCGTGGAGCAGGACTCTGCAAGGCTTGTGCCGTTGCATGCACGAACTGCAGCAGCGCCACAGCTTCATCATACCGGCACAGCTGGCGTCCTGCCGCTCGCGGTTGTGCCAGTATGTCGAACCTCGTGGCTGTGCTGCAGTTCCTGCATGCAACAGCACAAGCCTTGCAGAGTCCTTCTCTACGAGGCAGCGACAGTGGTGCAACAAGTCTCACAAAGACTCGTTTCTGGCAGGTGGGGCGGGGGAGAAGCGTCTCCCCCGCCCCACTTGCCACCCCTCTCAATAGAGACAGTGGGGAAGGGAAGCAGCCAGGCTGCTGTTGCCATCGGGGTGGGACGTGTTGGGCCGCGAGATGCGCATCTTACCTTTCCAGCACCATCACGTTCCTCGCCTTTCTGTCCAAGGAGACACGTTGTAGAAAAAACTTTCTCATGAGTTCAAGGAGTTTGGCTGAATTTGCGAGAAAGTTTTTTCTACAACGTGTCTCCCTGGACAGAAAGGCGAGGAACGTGATGGTGCTGGAAAGGTAAGACGCACATCCCGCTTCTTGCCCACCCTACGTGCCACCCCCAAATTGCACCCCAGAGGCTGCGGGTATACAGGTCGAGCCTAGAAAAGTCTTGAATAATGACAGCAAAACTTAAGATCTTTTTTTTTTTTTAAGTTTTAAAAAAATAAGCCTTTTAGAGCCCAGCAGTCTCCAACTCTGCATCCATCATAGTGATGACAAACCTTTTCGGCACCAAGTGCCCAAACTGGAAAGTGCACACGCCGGAGCGCCAGAAACCAGAAGACAAGTTGGCCAGTGCACATGTGTGTGCCGGAAACCAGAAGAGCAGCTGGTACACTTTAATGTATCCAGTAAAGACACACACACACACACACACACAAACAAACACACAATTTATACCCAAGAATAAATAAAGGCAAAAGCTTGTTCACCCCAAGGATAAAACACCCAGGACACAAACTGAGCAGCGTGCTATATGCAGTACAATGCAATGAGATGTGCAGATCTGGACATTGGGCAAACAAAACAACCACTTCACAAACACATGGCACAACATAAAAGAATAAACCCATCGGGGCCAGATTCTGCAGTCCATCTGCATTTCAAAGACAAAAAGGCCACCCTTTTGAAGATAGCAAAGTCCACATTTTGAATAGAGAGGACCGCTAGGTTGAAAGAGGGGTCAAAGAGGCCATCTGTGTCAAAAATTGAACAGCCCTCTCTCAACAGAAGTGGGGTGGATACTACACCACTTATCTCCCGTTTACAACCAGTCCTTTCAGCAGTTCCAAGAAGGTTCCACACTCATTTGCACTATTCAGGTGACCTTGGGGGCACAGATATTCTCCAAGTGGCCTCAACGACTCTTGAGAGAGAATACTGACCAGATGATTGCGAGGAATATAAATCCTTCCATCCTCCACCATCAGTCAGAACTGAAGAAGCTTCTTGGATGAGAAGCGAAATGTTTTCAAAGAAAAACAAAGCTCAATTGCCTTTTGAGGAAGCACCTTTGGGACAACTGTGACCTAAATGATAGAGAATCTCCATGCACTGACCTGTGTTTGTTTTTTGTTTCCTCTTTCTTCCTCTCTTCCCGTCTTCGTTTCCTAGATTGTTTAGCTTTGTTCCGCCTCTTCCTCTTCCTTCTCCTGCTTCGTTCGTTTTCATATTCGCTGTCGGAAGTTGACTCCGAAGATGTGGATGTACTGCTAGAGGAGCTGTCGGAAACTTCTGAAGGACTCCATGCTTTCCGCTTCTTCTCCAACACTTAAGAAGGATAAAGTCACATGCTTTTAATAACCTCTAGAAAGCACATAGATTGACAATCAACAAGAATAGAGTTAACAATTACAGGTCATTATTTTGGGATCACAATTACATATAGTACATAGCAATACCCTGTTTCCCTCAAAATAAGACATCCCCTGATAATAAGCCCAATCGGGCTTTTGAGTGCATGGCAATAAGGCCAAGGGCTTATTTCAGGGTCCAAAAAAATATAAGATAGGATCTTATTTTCGGGGAAACACGGTAGCAATAGCACTTAAGAGTTATATACCGCTTCATAGCGCTTTACAGTCCTCTCTAAGCGGTTTAGAGTCAGCATATTACCCCCCAACAATCTGGGTCCTCATTTTACCGACCTCGGAAGGATGGAAGGCTGAGTCAACCTTGAGCCTGGTGAGATTCGATCTGCCAAACTGCTGGCAGCCGGTGACCAACAGAAGTAGCCTGTAGTACTGCACTCTAACCACTGTGCCACCGCGGCTCATCTGTTACCAATAAAGGAGAATATTTATAGCTCTGGGTTGAAATACGGGATCCTTGGTGCTTTTTGAGTTTGGTGGCTTTTCTTGCAGACATTTCAACTAGGTAACATCATCAATGCTAAAGATAGTGGGGTCGTTGAAGAGGAGGAGAAGGATAACTGTGGAGTCCTTGGTGCTCTCTGAGCTTGGTGGTTTTCTTGCAGATGTTTCATGACCTAACTAAGGAGCACCATCAGTGCTAGAAGGGAGGAAAGGTTGCAGAGGAGGAGGAGGAGGGCTGCGGGATCCTTGGTGCTCTCTGAGCTTGGTGGCTTTTCTTACAGATGTTTCGTTTCCCAATTGGGTAACATCATTACTAGGAAGGAGTGTGCTTTGTGGAGGAGGAGGAGGGGGATTACAGAGTCCTTGGTCTCCTTTGAGCTTGGTTCTTTCCTTGGAGACATCTCATTACCAAACTAGATAAAACAATCAGTGGTAGAAGAGAGTGTGGTTTGTGAAGAAGGAGGAAGCCTGAGAGCTCCTTGGTGCTCTTTGACCTTGGCTATTTTCCTACAGAAACTTCATGAACCAACTAGGTAACATAATCAATCTTAAAAGAGGGGGATGACTGATGATGCTCCCTAGTTGGGTCATGAAAAGTCTGCAAGAAAACCACCAAGCTCAGAAAGCACCAAGGATCCCACAGTTCAACTCTGCGCTACAAATATTCTCTCCAATCAATACTTTCATATAATAAGTATTGAACAGATCTACATGGCCCTTTATTTTACAAGTAAATATTCTGCTCTACATTTTCTTGATTCAGAATTCAGCATCCAATAAAGCCTTCCCTAGGATCACAGCAGGATCTGTCCAGAGCAAAGGTGAAATGTTATCCAATGTACACATCCTCCAAGAGTTTCAGAAAATGATTTCCAGAATCCTAATTCAAATCCAATATTGCAGATTCTAGGATCCTTTTTGCCATGAAGCATGTCTATCATGAAAGAAAGGCTTACCATCTTTTGCCGGTTTGGTAACCAGCACCCCACAGTCAATGACACGCACATCGGCATATGGCCTACTGGCAGAATCAGTTTTCAGATTTTCGATTTGTTCTATGACTTCAAAACCAGAAATAACAAGTCCAAAGACGACATGGACGCTACAAAAACAGAAAATGCCAAAGGTATACTAGACTGTACAAAAAGAGGGAACTTTTGCCAGCTGTGTTCACACTAAATTCTTCGCTGAGTGTGCTGTGTGCTGTATGAGTTTAACTACAACCACCTATCCGTTAGTCCTCAACTTATAACTGCAAATGAGCCCATCCTTTCTGTTGCTAAATAAGACGGTTTGAGCCTGTTTCAAAGACCCAAAATTTCAGATCACCATTGAGCCCCAAATTTCCATTGCTACACCAGTTAAGTGAGTTTTGCCCCATTTTACAACCTGTCTTGCCATAGTTGTTAAGTGAATCACAGAAGTTAAGTTAGTAATACTTCCCCATTAACTTTGCTTGTCAGAATGTTAGCCAAAGGGGATCATGTGACCCCGAGACAATGTGACCATCATAAATATGAGTCAGTTGCCAAATGTCTGAATTTTGAACATGTGACCATGGGGATGCAATGGTCATAAGTATGAAAAATAGTCATGTTACTTTTTTTAGAGCTGTTGTAACCGAAATGAATGGCTGTAAATTGAGAACTACCTTTAATTGTCTAAATGACCAAGTCATTTAGAAAACTACATTTAGCCCCAACGTAACCTATTTTTGCTGTGGATGAAATTAATTCCCTCAGGTTGATTTTCCTTATTTGTGGCACTTAAAATGAAGACTTGCAAAAAAGCGGCTTTCTCTGTTGTTTTCAGCACACCCAACTGGCTCTCGGGGGGGAGTGACAGAAAAAATAACGGTGGTAAAGACCCCTCTCTCAATCTAGCAATAGTGATTCACCCAGGTTTTGCTTTTTCTTTAATTTTTTTTCTTTTTTTTTCTCTTTTAAAGAGAAAATGAATAAGCAAAGCAGACAGCAGGAAGGAAGGGAAATCTTTCCACCACCCTTGCTGGACTGGGATGACTAAAAAAACGACTGCTACCCTGTGGATAATTGATGGAAAGGGTGGGTTAAATAATTGTATTCGTACAAACTGAGAAACTAAGGACCCAAAATTATACTAAATGAAGAATTTTATTTGCACACAGGGCCACGGATGTCATACTCTGAAATGGAGACTTCATAGTGAGACAGTTTATATATCTAATCAATCCCAAACAAAGAACCCAATAATTATCAATATTAGTTTATTAATTTAGACCCTACCTTTATTATTCTTACAAAGAACACATAACTCTCAAGGGAGGTTTTAGATCCACACTAGGTGCTTATGAATCTTGTTCCTCCACCTTTCTCATTATCATTTATTTATTTCTGATTTCCCATCTTTATTATTTAATAACTAACTCAAGCCAGCCAACATCCCTAATACTGCAAACTCCTCCTATTTTCCTAGTAAAAACAATCCTGTGAGGTGGGTTGAGCTGAGAGAGGGACTGGCCTTCTTATCTAAGGCGGGACTAGAACTCACCATCTCCTTGTGATTGGTCCAAAGTCACCCAACTGGGTTTATTATCTAAGGCGGGATTAGAACTCACTGTCTCCTCGTGATTGGCCCCAAATCACCCAACCTAAGGTGGAATTAGAATTTATCAGCTCCTAGTGATTGGTCCCAAATCATCCAGTGGGCTTTCATGCCTAAGGCAGGACTAGAACTCATGGTGATTGGTCCAAAATCACCAAGCAGCTTTGATGACTAAGGCGGCACGAGAACTCTCTGCCTCCTGGTGATTGGCCCAAAGCCACCCAGCCAGCTTTCATGCCTAAGGAGGGACTATCTCTCACAGTCTCTTGGCTCCTAGCAAGGTGCCTTAACCACTAGAGCAGCCTGCCTCTTTTTGGACAAAAGAGTTTTTCTCAACTTGTTTTTCTCTCCAGCTATTCCCGCCTCTCCCTTCTCCCCTAGGACAATACTTGCCATAAATTTGTAATAGGATGACAAAAAGCTCAGGTTGAATACAGTCCCAGTTTTGTTAAGACTGATGTGAAACTCCTAATGGGAAAGAATAGGAGGGCCTTACCTATCAAGATGAGGAGCAGGCTTCGTAGTTCTGTTCAACATCAACATAAACAAGTCGTTTATTGTTGGAGGGAAAATCAGATTTTCAGTTGAAGAAGTAAAAAAGGTAGAATGGCAGGTAAAATAAAAAAAAAAGTAAAGGAAGAAAAAAACATAGCTGTTAATTTAATATATAAAACTTATTGGTACTAAATTCAGGAAATGTATCACTTTTTGTCATACACTACAATATAACACTACACTTGAATTTCAGTTTTGATTAAAATTAAATGCTTATAGTGTAGGTAGTGTCTCTATTTTACCAACTGAACAAATCGCCATGGATTCACTCACATTTGAAATACTCACAATTACAATCTGGATCTTGGCAACAGTACAGAATAAATTAGAGGCTGCTAATATGCATAAAATGTGTACAAAACCACATTCTTTAAAGTAAAAATATATTAGGCACACAAATACACAATAATTTCAAACCAACTTGTCCTCCAATTGTTTTTCTAAGTCAGCAAAGCCACACAGAAATCATTCATAGCTTTGGAAAATTATTGTTACAACTGATGACCTGTCAAACTTTAGAGTAAAGAGGTTTTTATGCCTTTTTTGCAGCCTGTGTTTCAAGAATATAAAGCCACTGCTCATCCTTTGAGTGAGTGGGTGGCTGGGGGATGATAATGTTAAATTGCAATCCCAAACAAGGTCAAAACATTAAGCTTATGGCGTGGCAAAGCCCACAATCGTATACTTATCTGCTGATAAATAAATTCCATCTAACTGATTTAAGATTTATTTGAAATATCATGCATGGTAGCTGTGGCTTTAAGAATCTTGCATCTCTGTGATTTTACCGTCTGAGCTAAAATACAAGAAACCTTTGAAACAAAAGACAATAGTCCAATATCTATTGACAATCTGCAGAGGAATTAGTGGGCCTTGAAACTAATCTGCCAATTTATTTTAGAGGAATGAATTGTTTTTCAAAGACAACATTGTGGCTACCAACTAAACTATCAGGAAGTGTCTGTTGAAGTTACCAAAGAAAATGCCTATTAATTAGCTATAAAGCCTCTCTATTAATTAGCTATAAAGCGATATACTGTCCTGGTGTACTTTTGCAAATGTTTGTTGAAACAGTCTTTTTTTTTTTAATCTTTGGAGAAGAGGGAATGGATAAAGAAGCAATCCAAATTACACATTATTGAATTTTCCATTTTTCAAGCAAGGTTATCGATCATTTTATAGTCTTTTTTTTTTAAACTCTAAGAACTCAGCAGCTATTCCCTGGATCATTTTAAGTAAAGGGCAATCTAATGGAAATGAGGCTGCACATTATATCCCAAGCACAGGTAGTCCTTGACTTACAGTCACAATTGAGCCCAAAATTTCGGTTGCTAAGTGAGACAGTTGTTTTGCCTCATTTTATGGCCACTGCAACCATCATAAATATGAGTCAGTTGCCAAGAGTCTGAATTTTGATCACATGACCATGGGGATGCTATTTTCCTAAGTGTGAAAAATGGTCCCGAGTCACTTTTTTCAGTACCGTTGCAACATTGGTCACTAAATGAGCTGTTGTAAGGCGAGAATTATCTGTACAGATAGTCCTCGAGTTACACCACAATTGTACCTGGAATTAGGGTCATAAATTGTGACAGTCATTAATCAGGTTATCAACAACTGACCCAATTTTACTCTTTTTTTAAAAAGTGCTTGTTTAGCATTTAAAAACCATAAACAAAACCATAAAAATGCAAGTTAGAATATTTTGGACATGTGACACCCAGAAAAATATGGCATATTTCACTTAATCCTCCAGGAAAAGATTGAAGGCAAAGAAGAGCCAAGCAGAAGAACATCATGGCTTCAAAATCTAAATGACTGGTTTGGACAAAACTCAACAGCACTTTTTCGTGCAGCTGTTGATAAAAATAGGATCGCCAACATAATCGCCAACATCTAATGATGGATATGGCACAAGAAAAAGAAACTTGTTTAGCGATCCTATTGTCTGAAATGGCCAATTTTTGCCTGAAACCGGACGAAAACACCAGTTTCTGCCAAAAAACCTAAATCATGGTCATGTGAGCGTGGGACTCAGTAAGCTAAATGGGAGCTGGTTTCCAGGCACCCAAAATATGATGCAATTGGAGGGAGGAGCAGCTGTCAGAATTTTCAGTCTGGGCCGTAAGTGTTTTTTTGAGATCTGTCGTAACTTTGAAGAGTGGCTAAGCAACCAGTGGTAAGTCGAGGACTACCTGTTGCTGCATTGATATGCACTTGCTGAAAATGCCACACAGAATGTGTCTTACTAGCAGATACCCTCCATACAATACATTTACAATGTGAGTCTCGTCAGCCACAAACACTGACCTTGTTGTTTCAAAATTTTACAAATATTGTTGCTCAGATCTCATTTTTTCAATTGGGCTCTCAAAAGCAGGGCTGGTTTGGAGGCCTACCACCCCCACACAGGGGATGATATTTCAGGGCCTGCCGTCAGTAAGGCAACTTACCTACTATTCCTTTCTGCAAAGCTAGAAAAATTAACAGAATTATTTGCTGATCAGGTCAACACGGGCAGGGCAGTCTCTACAGCCATTTGTCTCAAGTGCTATAGGGTTTCCTGCTTGAGCAGGGGGTTGGACTAGAAGACCTCCAAGGTCATTTTCTAACTCTGTTATTCGGTTTAAACCATCTGCGCTCAAGCCTTGAGTCACAAAAACGGGCAAGGATCAGCATGCAGCTGCCTGGCTCTTTAGCTCTAAAATGAATAAAGAACAGTGGGAGGGGCCATTAGGGCATTTGATTCAGGAAGCAGAAATATGAATTCTTATTACTATCGTTCCTTTTTGCAAAGTGAGGACAGCAAAATCTGTCGGGAATGAAGTGAAGCCTTGGAGGCAAGCCTCCTCTTTCTTCCTTAACTGGTCTAAAATATTAAGCACCGTTATTCTGTTGGAATAGCCTTATGTTTGCAGAGAAACGAGCATACAGAAGAGGGATCATTAGCACACATTTATGTGTTCCAAATACTAAAGAATATTAAAAAATGTGGAGCAGAAGTATTAAGCCTTACCTTGCTGGCAAGTGGCTGTTAAATATGTTATTGCTATGGCTGGACCTAATTGCATAGACTGTATGTGCAGTGAATTTCATATGTATGAACAAAATAGGGGAAATAAATATATGGATACATATTAAATATTTGTAATTGAGCTCCATAAGTTGAAATGTTAGTTCTGACCCAAGTATAGTGGGGCAATCTCAGTAGGTTCACTCAGATTCAGTTCTCCTTTCTATAAAACAATCTGAAACTAGTGAGGACATAAACAGAATTGTGTAGTTTAAACTACAACCAACTGAACTGAAATCCTGAATTAGAAAAAATTACAAAGAGGTTAATTAGATTGAGAATCAGTGTATCACCCCCAATTCTAAGTGAAAGTACCCATCAACAATTTTGAAATATTTTTACTAGTTTTCATCATAAAGATACTTTGGATCATTGCTTTTATTCAAACACACAAAGCGTTTTCAGAAAAACAGGGAGGGAGAAAAAAAAATGTTTGAACAGCATTAATAGCAAGAATTCTTAACTATGCCTTACCTATTGTCTTCCTCCAAAATGGAAGTGTGTTATAAGCTCAAAAACTTAGCATTTTAGCATTATTGAAATACTGATTTCAAAATATGGATGTTATTTAAACTGGTGATTATAAAACAACTTACTCAAACCTTTGCATTTAATATTACTGAAATACCGATTTCAAAGTATGAATATTATTTAAGCTGGCGGATATAAACCAACTACGATCATTTTAAGTGACTATTTCTTCCCTTAATAATAGTTTGCAAGAACACATCAACTACTGATCTAGGCATTCTTTGTTTTTCAAAGCCATTTTTTCCCCGCTTAGAGAAAAATGACTGAAAAAATTGTATTTCAAAAATTTGGGATGAAACTGAGAAAAAATTACTCCTACAATTAGTAAGAATTTTTGCATGGTTTATCCTGAAATAGGGCTTTAAAAGAACAGCATTGCTATAAAGAAGTCTCTCTCTCTCTTTCTCAACCCCAGGGAGAACACCACAAGATTCAATTCACATATGATCAGAAAAAAGACAAGAAAGACAGAAAGGAGAAAATGAAAAAGGAGGGGAAAGGAGAGGGAGAAAGAAGAAGGAAAGCGAGAAAGTAAGAACACAGCCTTAGAGGAATGAGACATTACCTTTGGAGCGCACGATGTAACACTGTTTCTGTAAATTTTACACAAAAATGGCAAGAAATAAATTGTAGTACAATTCCAAACAAACTTGAGACTATGTTTAATACAGCTTTTAAGTACTTTTTTTTTTTTGCGTTTCAGGTGAATGCAATTTTCTATGTGTATGCAAAACCAAGGTCACTTAAAAAAAAATAGAGCTCTAAATTTTCTTTATGTTCACCTTTGTTTAGGGTTCAGGGTTTATACCAGTAGAAATAGGATTTGTTTATGCACTGAAGAGTCACTACAAAAAATAAAATTCTCTGTCCAGCAAATCATTTGTCGTTTGCCTAAACTTGTTCCATGCAAGTTATGACGACATGTGTAAAGTTATTTGAGCAATTTGTTTGTGTTACAAAAAGATTACAGGTAGCCCGCGACCTAGGACTACAACTGAGCCCAACATTTCTGTAGCTAAGCAAGACAGTTGTTAAGTGAATTTTGCCCCATTTTACAACTTTCTTGCCAGAGCTGTTAAATTAGTCACGAGATTGTTAAGAGAACCTGGCTTTCCCATCGATTTCGCTTGTCAGAAGGTCACAAAAGGGGATTACATGACGCCAGGGACATTGCAACCGTCATAAATATGAGTCAGTTGCCAAGTGTCTGAATTCTGATCACGCGATCATGGCGATGCTGCAACTGTTGTAAGTGTGGAAAAGGATCATAAGTCACTTTTTTTCAGTACCGTTGTAACTTCGAACGGTCACTAAATGATCAGTTGTTAAGTCGAGAGCTACCTGTATCAAAAGAATTTATAAAGACTATAAAAACGCAGCAGCCGGGGAGGGAGAGGAGGAAGAGAAACACATTTTAAAATGCCCTTCCACAAATCAAAGCAGTACATAAATATCATTAAAGGCAGGAATTTTCTGGGTTTTCCAGCACTCAGGAATAAGCCCTGCGTGGCAGGCAGGATTAATCTTGGTGATGTTTTGGCTTGTTAACAGGCCAGAAAAAATCAGTAACGTAAAGCTTTTGACCCACATATAAATGCTAGTGAGATCAGAAATCATATGGTTATAATAAATGTGGGTGTGTTACCATTCCTTTCACAAATCAGGATAATCGCTGGGATTAGTAAGTGAAAGCTCTCATTTTACACAGGCCTAGAGTGGTTTGAATGTAGAATGCTTCAACAGCTTGATTCATTTCGTTTGTACCTATCAGCAGACTCCCACAGGGCTTATATATTTATTAAGAAACAATTTATGACACAAAAAAATTCAGGTTAAAGGTGTAAGAAAATTATGAAAAGAGCCACATATTTTTTTTTGCAGCAACTTTTTCAAGAATTGAAATAATCCCAAGCATGTGCAGTTCAATAACCTTTGAATTCCATCAATAATCAGAATAATCAGAAACCTCATCTCTGTCACTTTCTCCTCACCCCATCCTTCCTAGTCACATTAGAGAAAGATGAAAAACTGTTCCAAAATATTTACAACTGAAAAAGAAAATGTCAACCACATATTCAACCAACTGCAGTACAAATCAGTACAACTGCAGTACGTCTGCAGTACAGATGTTAATATTTGGGTGTGCCTGAGGGTGGGGGCAGAGAAGAGATATGTCAGCAGCACAAAAAAATCACTGTCTTCTAAGCCTTTATCATCACCTATTTTATCACCAGTAACTGAGTTTCGACATGCTTGGGATAAACATGTGTCCATCATCCGATAAAAATTAAATAAAAATAATAATAAAATTTTAAAAAAATTAAAAGTAAAGACATAAATGTAATTAAAAATACAACAAAAACACACAAAAAACTCTCAAATGGATCACTGGGTCTTTTTTCTGCCATTGGTTTTCTATGAGCTACTTTCCTGCCTCCAGAAAAGCTGTTCTGAGTGCTGCATTGTATCATAACTTATTCCTTACATTGTACTTTATTTCAAACTCTATTACTTCTCAATTTGTTTCGTAGATTGGCAGGGGCATCCTAAGAATTCAATCCACAAGCGGAAATACTGATTTTTCTTTGCAATATTGTTTAAGCCCTTCTCTATGTAATGTCTTGGTGCACCTCAAGACGTTGCTAAGTAGGGACGTTGCTAAGTAGGGTAGACACCTAGTTGGCTCTTTAAATTTCAGCCACTAATAAACACTTATGATCACAACAGGGCCCACTTTTTTTTTTTTTTTTGCTAAGCAAGGCAGTCATTAAGTGAGTTGTGCCACATTTTACAACCTTTCTTGCCACAGTTGTTAAGCGAATATTGCAATTGTTAAGTTACTATCATAGTTGCTAAGTGAACCTGGTTTTCCCCATTGACTTCGCTTGTTAGGTCGTAAAAGGGGATCACCTGACCCTGGGACATTGCAACCGTCATTAAGTACATGCCAGATGCCAAAAGTCCAAATTATGATCATATGACCAGGGAAATGCTGCACCGGTTGTTAAGTTTAAAAATGGTCACTTTTTACAGTGCCACTGTAACTTTGAAAGGTCGCTAAATGAATAAGTCAAGGACTACCTATACTTTGCAAGGGATAGAAGCTGTATCTATCTTTTATGCAAAAAGAACCCAAAAACCACCCTGTCTGTAAACTTATTGAACCTGTAATATTGCACTTGAGTTTGAATACAACTTAAAAGTTTGTCATGGCAGAACATGATTATCTTATATCAGCTACATTTTCACTTATTTAGTCTTTCTTCCACCAAATAACTGTTAATTGCAACAATTATATTATAATAATTATTAAAGAGGGCATATCTACCTCCCCTGAATTCAGAGTACTGTACAATGAATGTTAAACTTATGTTAAGCAGGACTGTACAGGATTTAAAGTTATACCATAGGATAAGTTGCTGGCACCACCTTTTATTGCTAAAAGTGAGTCTGTAAGATGTAAGTTTTAATGTGTTTTTTAAATTGTAAGCAGTTTAGAGTCACCTTGTAAGGAAGATGGGAGCCATAAAAACTTAATAAATAAATAATCAGCTGTATTAATCAAGTGCTCTTGTAAATATTGCCACGTTATATTAAATAAACTTTAGAGCCCATTAGCAGCTTCATGATCCATGTGTTAGCAGTTGTACTTTTGCTAGTTCAGATAAGCTTTGAAACTGGAAAAAAGTATGGAAGAGCGAACAAATTATTTATTTTCCACTATATGTCTAAATCATGCCAATCTCAAGCATAAGGGAAGCCATCTGTCTGCCAAACTAGACCACAGAAATCTCTGAAAAACCTGCATTACCTTCCTAATGAGGTCAAAGTTGTTTTCAATTTTATATTGATTTTCCATTTTGGGGACATTCCTTAGGAAGCAAGCTAAATATACCTCTTATCTGAACATTATTCAATAATGGCAGAGACCTCTTTTCAGTTTAATCTTCTAGAGAAGTGATCCCTTTAAGAAAATAACGAAGTACCATTCATTCTTATCAAGAAAGATGGCAAACTTGAGGGGAAAAACATCATATATATAGCAACCAGGACAGTAATTCTATTAAACATGCTTGAAATCAGTAACAAACGAAATTCATCAAATACCAAACACCCAAGTTGTCTTGTCTCAAACACAAGATAAAATGAATACGTCTTGTGTTTTTGTAAATGCTAATACTGGAATATAGGTGGAGGAATAGAAAAAGAGAAAATGTTGAACCACAGATTCTAGTAAAATCCAGCAAAATTACTTGGAGGACAGCAGGTTAAATTCACTTCAGCAGGTGCCGCTTGCTAACAAAATTAAAAATCTGGAATGGGTTTTGTAACCAAATTCTTCAAATATATAACTCTACCACTTCAGATTCTCAAAGGGATAGAAAATGCGAGCAAAAATTAATATGGAGTTTTTACAACAAATGTTAAAATTACATTGTACCTGGCTATCTGTAAACTAATACTGCTCAAAATCAATTTTTATTATACAGGAAGTCCTCGATTTACGACCGTATGAAACTGGAATTACGGTTGTAATTCTACAGTTGTTAAGTGAATCCATTTTCACCCAAGGGGTGATTTTTGCCAGAAAAGATGTTAGAAACTGGCAAAAATGTGTAGAAAAGTAGTCACATGACCTTGCAAAGAGCCATAAATAAGTAAGCTGATTGTCAAGCATCCAAAATACATTCATGTGACATGGTGCGTGTTGTATATGTTTGCGTGTGTCATAAATCCAAAAATGGATTTTAAGTAGCTCTAGGAGGCTCCATCATTAAGTGACTAGCTGTATGATGAAGGCTGCGTGTAGATGACTATACAGGTACGTTCTCAATTTATGACCACAATTGAGCCCAACATTTCCGTTACTAACCAAGACAGTTACGTGAAATTTTGCCCATTTTATGACCTTTATTGCCAGAGCTGTTAAATGAATCACTGCAGCTGTTAAGTTAGTAACACAGATGTTAAGTGAATCTGGCTTCCCCATTGACTTTGCTGGTCATAAAAGGGGATCACATGATCCTGGAACACTACGACCATCATAAATATGAATCAGTTGTCAAGCATCCAAATTTTGACCATGTGACTATGGAAATATTGCAATGGCTGTAAGTGTGAAAAACAGTCATAAGTCACTCTTTTCAGTGCCGTTGTAACTTTGAACTGTCACTAAACGAATGGTTGTTAAATCAAGGACCATCTGTATTTTCTATTAGACCAACTTCAAGCATATTCAAGAGGTTTTCTCCCCTGGAACTAGGGCAGGTCTAAAAGATGGCTGTGTCCCATCGCAAAATTAAGAGGGCTACCATCTGCCCCTTTTCATGTGTTAAAAGAAAATGTGTGTGATCTCTCTACCCAAACCATCTCTATGCACCTTTGGGGTCTGGGAATTGATGGGAGATAAAAGCTATGAATTCACTGCTTTCGCAAAAGAAAATGCCTGAAATCAGCTTTTCAGAATCTGAGATACGATATTTGCCTCGAGAGATTTTTTTTGTAAGAGAACATGAATAATAAATAATTCAAGATAATGCCTTTATATTCTGGCAGGGACCATGCAAAGCTAATGAATTTAAAATCAGCACTGTATCTAGAAAACCAAATAATTGCCTTTTATTGGTGAAAAGCAGAAATCTGCCTTTCAGTTCCTGTCCTTGTATAAATATTATGGCAATACTATCTATCTTATGAACAGTGTTTGTGCTTTTAAGAAAACGCAACTCTCAAATGAAGTTTACTTACATGAAAAACTGGGAACCATTCGTATGTTTCCCTCTGTTTGCCATTGACAAAAGAAAGGCTCGGTCGTGTTTCAAAATAAAGTTTTCATCTGTGTCGAAAGAGGAGACAAAGCAGAGACAAGTCAGCCTCCCCCTGGCATTTAGACTCTTTCCAAATATCAATCATGAAGAATTATCCCATTATGCAGTAAAAACTCAAAAACAATCTATGCCATTAGAAAGATGGTTTGCACGCAAGCAATCATTGAGCAGCCTTTAATTGAGAATATTCGGAAGTTTCGGTATTACAAGCCACTTTACCATTTCGTCAACCGCTTTTGTGGGGTCTCTGGCTGTTCTTCAACATTGCAGAGATTTCTTCAGCCCTGCTATTGAAACACGTTTCCTCTAGTTGCAGAATGAGCAGATCACAAGCAGTTCCACGGAACTATGGTACTATATATTCCTTTGGTACAACCATTGACTAGCCAAAGTTAAGAGAGAACTTGCATCTCAGTGAACGTTCCATGAAATAAAAGCACTAAGGAAGTTCAAATTTCCTTTGTGAAAAGACAATATGCCCTGCGTTGTTTTTTTTTTAAAAAAACAACAACTGTGTAGATCAGTGTTTCTCAATCCTGGCATCTTTTAAGATGTGTGGGCTTCAAATCCCAGAATTCTTCAGTCAGCCATGGTGGATTCTGGCAGCTGAAGCCCACATATCTTAGCTTTGCCAAAGTTGAGAAACAATAGTGTAGATACTTCCTTAATGTTAATCAACTGGCAATAAGGTTAGAACAATTCCAAAGCATTTTCTCCAGGAATCCATAGGCTAAGAATCACCAGCATGCAGTAAAGTTGGATTTGATCAGAAAACACAAAATCCTCTACACCAAAAAGCCTTTTTCTTTGATCTGGACAGAGAAACCACTTTGACGCCTTCACAAAAGTAATTAAAACTAATTATGTGGCGTTGTGGTGCTCTTTTGAGATTGGTAGTTTTCTGGTAGACATTTCATGATCCAACTCAGCAACATCATGAATGCTAGAAGCTAGAAGCCCACTCCCTTCTAGCACTGATGTTACCTAGTTGGGTCACAAAACGTCTCCACCAAGCTCAGAGAGCACCAGGGACCCCCGCAGTTCAAACCTGAGTTACAAATGTTCTATCAATAATTAAATTATGATCTGTTTCTTAAGCTAATTATCAACTACAAACAACAGACATCCACAAAACGAGAATATCACATAGGTTTCTTTCACTTTCATTGCAGAAAAATCTCATTTTACAACATGCTGTTCTGACTGATGATTACAGAATCTATTGGCAGCTTTAACCAAATTTTATTAGAAGCCATAACTGTACAGTACCAGGACAGTTGTACTTACCCAATTCAAAATCTTAGAAGAAAAGAACCAAAAACCTTTACAATACAGATTGGCAGAAGAACAGAAGAATAATTGCTGTTGTATTCTATGATTAAGCATTTTTATTTAGAATGTAATTTTGTACAAAGCAACTCATTTAGAAAAGGTTATTCTCTTCTAGGACATATTTGGAACCAACCTAACAAGAAAAACTGTTTGGTATCTGATTTATAATCCAATACTTTTAAAACATGCCCCAAATAATTGAGAAGACACATACAAACCTCAAAAAGGGCAGGGAAAGGGAAGGAGCACCTGAGTTGAAAGACAAGTAGGTGACATCCCAAGGACGTCTTGTTCCAAACCGAAGGCCATCTTGGGCCTCTCAAACTATTTTGGGGTTCCTCTCCAAAGCTACATGGACCCAGCCACAAATTCATTAACAGCTGACCAGAGATTTATTAGGAAGGGTGCAGGGGAACAGTTTGAATTTGTGTTGAGCTTTTGTGTCTTACCTTTTCATTTTGCAAAAGATCACATTCTCTATAAACAAAAGAATATGTTGACAGTTTTAGGCAGGAAGACAGGAGTTGGCATGAATCAAGTTGGCTAGCCTCCATGCTGAAGTCAAGTTTTAACCACTACAATTGCCGCCATAAACGTTGACTGTTAACGCTAACATTTACAGTCTTAAGAATTTTAAAACTCTCATGCACACAGAGAATATCCATGCAATATTATACTTTCATGCAAGAGGAGCTATATAAACCTGGTTATGAAAAACTGAAATTGGAATTCGCAAAGCTGAAGCCACCGAGGTTTAAAATAACTGCTTGAAGCTTACCTTTAAAATATCCTCCATAAATAGATTCACCCCCTTTTCCGTTACCTAGCATTAAGAAGGTAGAATGTTAAATCTTGGAAAATGCCTCTAAATAATTTAATAAGTCATACAGCAGGTTTACCAGTATGAAATCGGCAGAGAGGTCTGCGAGATTCCTAATTTTAAAATACAGGTAAATTGCAATTACAGGTAGCCCTTGACTTACGACCACAATTGAGCCCGAAGTTTTTGTCACTACCGTGTTTCTCCGAAAACATGACCCACCCCAATAATGGGGGTGGGCCTAATATTACCCCTACCCCGAAAATAAGCTGCGGGGGGGGGGGGGGGGGGGGGGGCCGGGGGGGGGGGGGGGGGGACTGTTCGGCTGCAGCGGCAGCCCACTGGTATTTGGGGCAGCGCAAATATCACTTTTGCCCTTCTCTTTCTGAGTACAGCGTTTCTGCTTATTGGGATGCTTCCCTGAAGCTGGCAGCTCCACAGCCCGCTGCTTTGCTTTTTCCCTCTTTTTGGAAGGCTCGCAGCAGGCTTTTTTGCAATCGGGAGAAAAATGGGGAGGGGGATTTTCCTGCCTGTCATCCTTCCCTCAGTCTGTGCTGAGGAATGGATGGCAGGCAAGAAAATCCCCCTCCCCATTTTCCTCCCGTTCACAAAAAAGCCTCCATTTCGAATGCTTAAGTTTCGGAATGGAGGCGACGGTGCATCCAGCTCACCGAGTCTGGCCTGCTGCACCTCAAAAAAAGTAAGACCGCCTCGATAAAATAAGACTCAGTCTTATTTTCTGAGAAACATAAGTAAGTAAGACAGTTAAGTGAGTTTTGCCCATTTTACGACTTTTCTTGCCACAGTTGTTAAATGAGTCACTGCAGTTGATGAGTTACCATCATGGTTGTTAAATGAATCTGGCTTCCGCAGACTGCTTTTCAGAAGGTTGCAAAAGGTGATCACATGACCCCGGGACACTGCAACCGTCATAAATATGAGTCAGTTGCCAGGCATCCAAATTCTGATCACGTGACCACCAGGATGCTCCAACGGTCATGTGAAATATGATCATAAGTCATTTTTACAGTGCTGTTGTAACTTTGAATGGTCACTAAACAAGTCGAGGATTACCTGTAGCACTAAATAATTTAACTAGTCACATAGCATGGTTACCAGAGAGGAATTGGCAGTAGGCTCTGTGAGATGCCTAATTTTAAATTACAGGTAGTTCACAATTAAGATAGTTGAGTGCAGGTGCTAACAGGTACGCTTTAGATATGGGCAGCAGGTACAGATAATCCTCCATGAACAACCATAACAGAGACTGTCCATTAGCAGAATGGGACAACTTGCCACAGCCAATTCACCACGGTCAACTTGCCGCTTCGGGACAATTCTGTTCAATTATTTTAAATAAATAAGTAAATAATTTAATTTTTGCCATCTACATTTCGTTCTGTCTTTCCTTTTGTATCCTTTCTTTAATTATTCTAGTCCACCATTTCTTTGATATTAATGTAACTCTTGTTCCGCAGTGAGTTGTCTTTTGGTAAGTTGGCTGTGGCCATTAAGTAAATGTGGCAGTCATAAGCATGAGCTCGCTGTTTGCAGAGTCTGCTGACAAGTGAAAACGCTGGTTTTCAACAAAACTGTCCTAAAATGCTTTGACTGTGGGACGCTGCCTTAAACAGGGTTTAAGCGAGGACCCAGATTGTTGGGGGGTAATATGCTGACATTTATAAACCACTTAGAATAAAGCGGTTTAAAACACTGTGAAGCAGTATATAAGCTATTGCCACATGGGATTTTGTTGTGATCACGTGACTGTGGGAAGGCTGACCCCTGGAAATTAGGATATGAGTCGTAAATTCCCTTTTTCAGGTAGGTTGTAACTTCAAAAGTTCGCTAAGTGACCAGTGGTAAACCAAGGACCACATGTATACTTTAAAATTTAAGCTCTATTATTGTTCTTCACTATTTCATAAATATTTTATATAATTTATGTTTAAAATACTCAATTGCCAATTTTCATCAAGATGGAATAATTACATATATTTTCCATAGAAATGTCACTTTAAACACAGGTAGTCCTCGACTTATAATCACAGTTGAGTCCAACATTTCTATTGCTAAGCAAGACAGTTATTAGGTTTTACCCCATTTTATGACCTTTCTTGCCACAGTTGTTAAGTGAATCGCTGCAGTTGTTAAGTTAGTAGCACAGGGGTTAAATGAATCCGGCTTCCCTATTGACTTTGCTTGTCAGGTGGTTCCAAAAGGGAATTACATGATACTGCAACCGTCATAAATATGAACCAGCTGCCAAGCATTGGAATTTTAGTCATGTGACCATGGGGATGCTGCAACAGTTCTGTGAAAAATGGTCATAAGTTACTTTATTCAGTGCCATTGTAACTTCAAATGGCCACTAAATGAATGATTGTAATTAGAGGACTATCTGTAGTCCAAATAATGCGACCATTTTGTGGGATTGATTAACTGCACCAATTAAGACCCATCTGTTACTTATGAAAGGGATTTCCTCCAGTGCATCTCCAGTGCTGTTTGTTGAAATTCCACTGTTCCCTGTTTACTTTGAGATAGGCCTAATTGAATCCTCCCTACAAATAACACTAACATTGGCACGTGTGCAAACAGCACAGGGAAACCACAACTCCTCCTCATCTTATCTTTAAGAGATTACACAAATAGGGAGAGACAAAACAGCGTCTGTGAAGATGCCAAATTTGGTCTGACAGAAAAAATTAAGCTGTTATTTTTTGGAACAGATCGGGAAAGCAATGCTTGCGTTTCTCTTCTCAAAATCTTTTTTTCTCCCTCTTCACAGCTTATAGCTGCTTCCTATTTGATCTCATATCGACTCTTAGCATTGGGGACGTTCTCTTTACATTTAGGTAAGGCCTGCACAGGGGATGTGTACATTTTGTAGCAGTGACTAAACTAAGCATTCACAATTATTCACACATGCCAGCTAACAATAGCAATAGCACTTAGACACCGCTTCACAGTGCCTTTACAGCCCTCTCTAAGCAGTTTACAGAGTCAGCATCTTGCCCCCAAAAATCTGGGCCCGCATTTGGAAAGACAGAAGGCTGAGTAAGCCTTGAATCTGGCTTCCCCATTGACTTTGCCTGTCAGAAGGTCACAAAAAGGAATCACGTGACCTCACAATGGGAGATGCAGGGTAAGGGTATGGGACTCAGCGGGGTGGGAAGGGACCCCAAGGAGAGGAACCAGGGCATGGGGAGCCTCAGGGGTTGGTGGAAGTCAGGGGCAGGGTCTGTGCTGCATTTAATGACCCACATGTTTAATGGCTGGATTGGGAAAGCAGGGATGTAGGAGTCACAAGCGAGGCGATCACGTGGGATGCTCCACTTAATGGCCATCATGACTTGCAACTGTAAAGAGCAGGCTCTGTTACAGTAGGTCGAGGATTAATTGTAACAATATGGATGTGCAAGTCACTTAATGTACACGCAACAATTTATAACCAAAGAGAAACAGCTACATATAACAACAACAATAATAATAATAATATTCAGGATAAATTTTAGAGAGTCAGACGAGGATAGGATTTTATATAAAACTCTAATTAGAATGTCTTTTTAAAAGAGCTAATGTTTTAATTCCAGATATAATATAATCTATTCTTAAAGTTACCATTCTTATAATGTAATATGAGAACTAACAGCGTATCTAAGCTATTTATTTTTCCTGAAAGAAAATAAGGATCATTTACTGTAGATATTTAAATATATTCAAATGCCTCATAATTTTTTTACAGTCAACTGTTAAATTTTGGCAACCCTTTAATTACAACGGATTAAGGTAAGGTCATTTCATCTACCTTCGCTAAAGTCTCCGCCTTGAATTATGAAGCTTTTAACCACGCGATGGAAAGTTGAACCTTTGTAGCAAAGCTTTTTTCCAGTTGTTTTCCCAATTCCCTTTTCACCTATAAGGAGGAAATATATGTAAGCTCTCAGCAGTGTTACAAGCCATGATGTCAAAGAGAGGAGAACGAGTCAAGATATTGCAACTTGGTCTCACGTCACTTAAAGCCATAGGTCATAGGTCACAATGCCACATATGTATCCAATTGTTTGTACTGCACATAGCTGGACAACATGACTTCTAAATAACCACCTACATTCAGCAGAGCTTCTATTCCAAATGGAAGACACCACTGCCAGGAGCTAAACACAGAGGGAAGTCATTTTTGACTGCCAATTAAGACTTCTTTAAAGTAGCAGGATGAAGGTCCATGGAGATTCTCAGTCATCCAGGTCATGGTTGTCTCAAAGGTGCTTTTTCAAGAGGCAACTGGACTTTATTTTTCCTTGAAGACATTTCACTTCCCATCCAAGAAGCTTTTTCAGTTCTGACTGAATGGGGGAGAATGGATGGATTTATATTCCTTGTAGTCATCTCATCCTTACAAAGTAATTGAGGCTGCAGTCCTTTCAGCAGTTCCAAGAAGGTTCCACGCCCATTTGCACTATTCAGGTGACACCAAGGGCACAGATAAATCCCCAAGTAGCCTCAACAGCTTTCTAATGACCAGATGACTGTGAGGAATACAAATCCTTCCATTCTCCACCATCCGGTCTGAACTGAAGAAGCTTCTTGGATGAGAAGTGAAATATCTTCAAGGAACAACAAAG